CTGGCTGCCACCACGCCGTGCGAGACAGGTACCGCTGGATTTTCTCGGCGGCCAGTTCCTCAATAACATCAGTTGCGTACCCCGGGCGTGCGATCTTTGTTAACTCGCGCACATCCTCGGCGTAATCACGTAGATCTTCGCCAGGTTGGCGCCGGCGCGCCTCTAAGGCCGATTTTGCTTCCTCCTCGTCACGCGTGCCAAACCGCTGATCGAGTCGGCGCATCAGCTCCTCTAGCTGTGTCTGTGCGCTCGCGGGTAACGCTTCTACAAAATCGGCTGCCCGCCCATCAAGATTCATATTAAGTTGACGTACTGCCTGCGCGTCCGTCCATCCATTAATTTCCTTGGCCCCTAAGAGATTGCGGGCGAATGCCTTCCACGAAGGGGCCCCCCGGCCGGTAAATATTAGTCTTATTTTAGCGTGAGGTAACGCGGGGGTCCGTACCGCTTCCGACACCAATTTGTGGGGGTCGCTAGCCCCCGAGATCCCTCCCTCGATAATGCTAACGGCCGGGCTAGCATCATCAATCGCCCCCCCGCTGCTAAGCGAACCGCTGCTAAGTTCCTCACCCATGGGGTGGGAGCCGTCGCCCGAGGATTCCACTCCACCGCGGGTCCGCGTAGCAGGCATGGTTAATTACGTACGCGCACACCCACACACACAGCTCTGTACGGCACTCACTCTTGCGCTTCTCTGCGCCGCGCTGGCCGCTCACGTTACAATCGCGCACCTGGGGTACGCCGATTACGCACGCCGCGAGCTTACGCACACACAGTACCACACGCGTTCCCACACGCAACCCGCGCGCTCAGCTCCGCGCAGCGCTCACTCCCGTGGCGAACCACTGTGCACACAGCGCACCCACACGCTCACACTGCACGACAAGATCACGCGAGACCACGCTTCGCTATTAATGATTTATTATATGCCACCTGCGAATTGATGTTGAATCAGTGAGTCGACGAGGCTGGCCTATTCCACTAAACCTGTACCTATTCCCTATTTATCGGCTATGATTCTAATTCCCCTTCTTACTCACTGTTAAGTGTCCACGGCGGTCCGCTGATCCTTCTGTTAACCGCGTGCCTCGGTGCGTCGCACGGACGTCCGGGTCGCTGGCTCGAGCTGCGTCTGGTCGCCTGGCGCTGGAGTAAGAGAGCGATTTCCCCTCTGCGCTCCTCTATTTATCCTCCCTACCTCCCAAAGGGGATGCTGCGCTGAACAATGGGCTCGTGCACCCCAAGCCCGCGCACCGCAGTCCCCAGGCGCTGTTGATATGCTAATCAGTGTGCTGCGTGCAAGGCGTAAATCCTAATTACTCCCTTACCCTTCCTACCAATGGGGCTTGCGCGCTCAAGCGCAATTATCCCAACCCTCCATGACTATGCGCAACAGCCCCTGTGACCCCGCTATTCATGCTGTCCCGTGCCTCCCCTGCTCGCCCCGTCGACCCGTGGGAGTGTGTGTGGGGGGAAATGCGCCTCAACCGCGGTGGCCGAATGCCCCACGCCACGACCTACCATATTAAGGCCGGCCGCAGCGCCGCGGTGCCACGTAGCACGGGGAGGTCATCCAATTCCCTGATCGCCGGAAACCGTGAGAATTAATCCCGATAAGGGTCTCTCGGATAAAAACCGGTCGATCAGGTGACCTTCCCTTCCAGCTCTATGGGGGGGGGGGGGTGCGTGCGGGTGTGTGCTTATGTGGGGCGGGTGATGGGGGGCAGTGCGGTGGGGGAAGCCGGGCGGCTCCCTGGTTCGGCAGAGCGGCCCCGTCGTTGTGGCACCACACCACACGTGTACCAAGTCAGAGTGATATCACTCGCCGGTGATGATAGCCGGAGGCTCAGCTGTTGAGCACGTGGCGCGTAATCGGAGCGTTGCGAGTCACAATCCTAGTTGGGGATTGACGCAGCCTATCAACTCTCCGTGATCGATAAAAGAAGGGACCACTTTGTGGGAAAGACAGCATTGGTTTTCCTATGCAAATAAATACCCCGGCCATATGAATGTGGAATTTCCTACACTGGTTCAGGGATGTAAACATGAGTCGTGTGTGCACCGCCTTAATGTATGTTGAACTTCTTTCGGACAGTATGTAGTCAACCGTGCACACGATACTAAATTTCATAAAACCGTGTAAGAGTGAACGTTGCATACTTTGAATGTTAACACGTTCACGTAAACCCTGCAGCTACTGGTGACCGCTGCATTCACCAATGTTCACACACATAACCGATCATTGAATGGAATGGCAACCCTGAATGACGGCGAGCGACTCGCCAGTGGGCAGGGTTCAATCGTTTGACCGCGAGGCGCGAACGTCGCTGCGACGTTTTGTGCCGTGTCTAGGCTGGCGCTACGAGGCGACTCTGACGCTGTCTGGTACCAAATCGGTCCGAGGCATCTTTAAGATCGCTCTGTACGGACCCTACGGGAACACTCACCAGCACCAGCTGACACCGTGAGTAGCCGGCGTGCGTTAGCTCACAAACGCACACCAACACACGAACAAAACTCACTCACTAGTTCGTTGTCCTTCCCCCCCGCCCACACGTAGGGTGCAAACGAAGTTCAACATTCATACATATATACGTCACGTGCTTCCGTAGCGCGCCTGCACGTTTCTCAATTGACCGGGGGTTTACACGAACGAACGAATGAACGACTCGGGTCCCTTTCCCCCACAGCTCGGCGACGTGGCTGGAGCCCGGCAAGACGTACACGTACTTCCTGGACAGCGAGGCCATGGTGGGCGGGGTCACCAAGGTGAAGTTCCTGTGGGATGACAATGTCATCCACCTCATCCGCCCCAAGCTGGGGGTGACCCGCCTCGAGCTCAAGTCGCCGTTCAATCAACAAACGTGAGCAGCACTGACAACAGTCGGTTACCTCCACATTGCGCTCGTAAAACGTTTAAAGAAAACACGAAGGGATCTCTATTTTTGTTTTCACTCTGCCTTCAATCGACCCATGCACTTTCACTCTGCCTTAAAGGGACCCATGCACTTTCACTCTGCCTTAAAGGGACCTGACCTGCACGGCCCTTTGACCCATTCATTGCTTAGGGTCCCCACGTTTTGCACGAAAGTAGTTCTCTATCGGCCACGGTCTCTCGAAACTGTGCAATATATCCCGCAATAAAGGTCTACACGATGCCAGCACCGAATTGTGGTACAGATCGACACATGGACTGCATCAGGTGAAACACGGGATAGGTGGCAACCCGAGCAGTGCGAGATGAAGGCGTCCCCAAGTCGTCGGGGGTTAGGTCACCACGCGTCACTCTGCTGGCCAGCGCGTGCTGGCGAAAGCGGGCACAGTGGATGCAGCAGCAGCAGCAACGGAATACTACAGAACAATGGATGTTGCTGAATCATATCTATGTTGCCCTGCATAAATAAACTACGTATAAATGTTTTTTGTTTGAATGGGTAAAGCCCACAGAGCCATATAGCTGCTTTTTTTTCAGAAGCGACCTGGCCACAAATGATAGCTCAACGAAGTGGCTTATCACGTGGAAAGTTAAAGCAGTCAAAATAATCTAAACGCGTGTGTTTTTTTAAATGCGGAGGGAAAAATCGGAGGCCCCGGAGAAAAATCCACGCGACCACAGGGAGAGAGACACCGCAAACTCTAAATATACAGCAGCACGCGTCAGGGTCGGGATCAAACCCACGGCCACCTGTATACCAAGCGAGGTAGTTAACATCTCGCCACCGTGTGATTGTTGATGAAATGCGTTGCCTTGCCCGTGTGTGTGTGTAGATACAATTTCTGCGGAGGCTCAAACGACGTGGTGTTGAAGGAAGAGCTCCTGACGATCAGACCCTGCTAACCCACCCACGGTTCAGCAACGCAGCACTGAAAGCAGCTCGTTTGCGATGCAGATCTGTAACAAAGCTCTACAATGATAATAAATCGAATGCATGTCACACCGTCTTTGTCAACGAACTTCCTCTATTGTATCTTCGTACCATGAACTAAGAATGGCAACTGTTGCTTGCAATCATCGACAGCAACTGGTTTGCTGAGAGCCACGATGGGAACTCGGTACGGCAACGTTGTAGAGTGACCAAGTTCTGTTTGGTCGATGAAAACAGAGGGTTTGTTGGCAAACGAGTCGATGAAAAACGATCGGCCTACACAACACTGCCCGCCCAGCAACGACGGCGCTGACTGACGAGATAGCCGGCTAACTGTCTAGCAGTGGCGACGTCGAGCGATGACAAAGACGGCAGCGACGAGACGACCGCAATTTCCACAGACAGCCCCGAGCCCCTCTCTCGCCTACTTTTATCTTGCCAACTTTAATCTTGCCAGCAGGGCCCGGCCATGCCCCTCTTCTGGAACTATCCAGCTGGTTTGGGGAGTCACGCGTAGTAGCGAGCTCAGCAGAACTCCACGCTTCCCACTGAATCTTCTTTCTAAATTAGACAAATTCCCCTTGTCGCCCCATCCCCCAACATTGTCCCCTCGGCTTGAGCAGCCCGGTTCGAAACCGAGCGCCACGCGCGCTGTTCACAATTCAATGACCAAATTGGGAAAGGTCGTCGAGCCAATCAGGTTCACTCAAATGCCACACGGCTGCTGTGCTCGTCCAATCAAGAGCTGGTCCGGCTCGTGGCTGGGCCAATGGGAGGGCTCCCCGCGCCGAATTCAAATCGCCGGCAGAGCCGCTGCACTCGTCCGTCGAGCGTCCGCGTGAATTCATAAACCAAGGATCGTCCTTCGGCGGCCTTTGCACATTTAACCACACGTCACCACACCAGGGCCGGCTCCAGATTCTTTCGGATGGGATGGGGATGGTGGGGGGGGGGCAGTAGAGCTGTGGCACGGGGCCACCAGAATGGTAATTCACTGCTGTGGAGAGTGCACCTGGGTGGGGGACAGAGGGTGCAGGGCCCAGCTCCCCCTAGTGAAGGCCCTGCCACCACTTTCTCTACTTCGATTGTCGTTTGTCCTGCTGTAGTGATGACCAGACGTGATCGTGGTTTATAATATAATCAAACATTTAATGGAGACCCACACGCGTGAACGTCACTGCTTGTGTAACACGCTCATTTAGTTTAACGTGTAGGATTTCGCGACCAATATCATTTAACACACACAAACGTTGACAGTTCAATAGTGCTGCAACTTAACAATGAGTTAACATTTTAGTAAACCAACATAAATCATGAAACGGTGCTGTGCTGGCGAATGAGGGTTAGACACCTCGCACTGCACACTTGAATGGAGTCGCTCCTTCTCCTCTGCTGCCCCCCCAGTCTGGAATTCCCTTTGCCCTTGCCGCCCGTGCTAGTAACTGCCTGCCCCTGTTCACGTCCAGGCTCAAGACCTTCCTTCCGTTTCCCCTCTGCCTATGACCGACTGCCTGTCTGAAATATATAAGCCTGCTGTTATTGCGCATCTCGAGTTAATGGTCGCATTCAGGCACGAGATGACAATTTGCAGCTATTCATCAGCATTTATAGAACTATATATATGAAGGATTGAGCCTGGATAGTACTTGGGTGACCGCCAATGTATACCAGGTGTTATAGGTATGGGGTTAAGAGGCAGCCAGGATGTAGTAGTACAGCAATGGCCTCAGTCTACATAAAGACTGCTTATGTGGTCTGTGTGGTGGACCTATGTATAGAACTTTATTCCGGGTACCCCAGCTTCCTCCTAATGCAGCAGGACTCGACTGAAAATGAGTCTTGAGACCTGGCAAGGTTTTCCAGGGTAAATAATGGGAATTGTCATTATATTAATTATTGCAAGCATGGATTAAGTGAACACAAATAAATGCAGCTGCATCGTCAGCAGCGCGGCAGAAAAACTTGAGCAGCCCGAGGAGGCAGGCGATGGAATTACAAGACCCGTGCAGATTCATCCTTGTAGGCCTGCAGCTGCTGCTGTAGCCTGAGTGGGGGGGACACGGAAACAAGGGACAGACAGCAGCGGTGAGACTCGAGAGGTTTTTACAGATGGGCATGTAAGACACAAGAGGATTCGGAGACACTACCCCGGTTAAGTTTCCTCCCAAGAACAATCAGGCATCCCGCCTCGTGCTGCTGTGAAGCGGCTCTCGTACCGCGGACCACCCCACACACGTGGGGAAACATGTCGACGTCTGTACCACGCTCACAGAATTCTCAGCCACCCAACAAGAGACGAGCACACGGACGCCTCCTCATCGGTCTCCACCTCCTCACCGCACAAACTCGGGGTCGGTCCTGAGTTTCTCTCCGAGCTTCTCCTTCTTCCTGTGCAGGCTCTCCGTCGCCTCACAAGCCTCGCGCCGCTCCGCCTCCAGCTCTGCGCGTGCACAGCGGACGTGAACAATTGCTTCTTCTACAGCCGCAAAGATCGGCTCGTGAAATTATCGATGAATAGATCACTATTGTCATCGTTATCAACACTCGTCCATACGGTTTAGCCACAGCGTGCAGAAAGGCCACCGCACATGGTTTAGCCACACCACACCGTTTAGCCGCACCACATAGAATCACACCAAATGGTTTAGCCACACCACAGAACAGCCACACTATATAGTTTAGTAATCCCAAGTGGTTTCTCCATACTCCACAGTTTGGCTACACCACACGGTTTAGCTGCGCTATATAGAACAGACACACCACGTGGTCGAGCCACACCACACAGTGCAGACAGACCCACGTCCTATCAGACGTACTACTTAGGTGCGCGCGTTGGGAAGCGATCTCCTCCGTCAGCGTCTGAATCTGCTGCTGCAGTGGGACCATCTTCACAAGCTCAGCCTCGATATTCTCCAGCTCTATGCCAAGCACACACAAAACATCATCACCAGCAATGGCCACTGCTGGATCAAGGCCTCCCCAGGCTCTCGCCATCTCCCACATTCCCACAATGCAAAAATCCATGTAGCTCCTCTACGTGAGCTGATTTGAGTCTGACCACCGACCATCAACCCTACAATTTTCATACATCTGTCCGACTTAAAAAGTAAAAGCTTTTTTGGTACACATTCTGCTGATGAGACCCGATGTTGAGACCGGTCCAGAGTTTTATTTTATTTTATTGAATGCTGCTGAAAGTATGCACTTCCAGAAGGCCATGAGGCCGATGGGATGTGGAAAATGTGCTTTCTTTTCACACGGAGGAACAGATATCAAAAGCAGGCATATTATGTGCTTATTTAATTTGTAATTAAATTCTCCACAACAACACGAATTATGATTTCGTGGTGTATTATTATTAACGGTCAATATGATGTCTCTAACGTGCACATGTTCCCTGAAAAATGTGTTCCCCCTTCCCGTTTCTCAGCATAATTGCAAATGCCGTGATCGTAAAAATCAATACTCATCAAAGAATCAATGCATCGTCGGTGCCCCCAATTACTTGACCTTATCGTTACAAGGGCCTGATTAAGTTTAAGGGGTGCCCCGGGGCTGAGATAGTTTTGGGGTCCAATATTTGGATATTCAATCCCTCCCATTACTGTTCTACCACCACCCATGCCTGATGCCAAACACATTTTCCTTTTTACCTTGGAATTTACAGTTTAAGATTTTAAATACAATATATGAATTGTAGAAATAAAATTTAAACAAATCAAAATTATTAAACTTAGGCACATAACTTGTAGTAATACATTGTTAACCCAGCTGTTACCCCCAGTCAGCTGAGAGATGCTCTCCTCCACCACAGCAAGACGCTCCCTCTCAATGCAGCGTCGCCCCTCACGGCCCCACATGCAGTGGTGCGTCGTGAAGGCGCTCAGCTCCGCCAAGAATCGCTTGTTCTCCTCGCTCGCCCTCTGCTTATGCTCGGCCTGGAGACCATGCGAGGGAGCAGCACACGCGGCACCATGTGGGGAATTCGTGCCCCCGTGGCTCCATCACACACACCGGAGTGCAGTGCTTTTATCGAGTTTGTTTACAGCTAGCGGTGAGGAACCTTTTTGGGAACCGATGGCCAAATATGACTTTCAGATACCTTTGACGAACAACCGCACTTCAACGCTCACCTTCTTAGCGTTATCAAATTACAACACGAAAAATGATGATTTACATTTACTGAATGTGTGAAAAGTGTTGTTTCCACATTGAAAAAAAGCCCCTCTAGTACCAGATTAGTGCTGCTAAGATGCTTGTACTGACGGAAAAATATTGTTTCCTGGTCGTTTGGAAGTGGGAGGCCTCATGTGATTGAGGGCCATGTGAAATGAAGTCACGGGCCATATGAAAACTAAGTTGTGAGTCGTAGGTTCCCCACGCCTGGTTTATAGCGTTTAGAGCGCTATGTTGTAAATAAAAACACCGTCAGTTCGTGTTAATGGGCCACGAACCATCCACAAATAAGCTTGTTAGGGATATCCGTGAACAGCCTTAGTGCGCTGGTCGTCATTTGCTGCGGTGGCATAGCTATTAAGTGTGCAGGCGGTGCAATTGCACAGGAGCCAATAGGTCAGAGGGCTCTAGGTGCCAGGCTAAAGTAAATTACTGGACATCTGTGAAAAAGAGCTTTATAGCTCATCGGATTCCTCAAGTATAAATAAAGATAATTCCGAGATAGGGGGCCTCATTCCACTGCTAGCACCAGGGCACATGCCAACCGTGCTATGGGTCAGCTTGCTCACAAGTGGTCTGCGGCTTTGTTCTCACCGTCAGCTGGTTGAGGGTTTTGATCTCTGTCAGGAGGTCTTGCTCAAATGCAGCCAACACCTCCTCTCGCACTCGAATGAACTCTCTTTCCAGGTCTTCCTCCTCAAGTTGCTGGTTCTTTAACACAATAACGACAACAATGCTGTGTACAGAGGCTGTAATTATATATTAACTAAATAGATTGTACATCATGGGACCTCCTTTGCCAGTACCAAAATATGAGAATAGGTCTCTTCCCATTTTTTCTGGTCTAACACCGTTTGAGACGAGGCTCAAAAGAAAGCTGTCTCTGGTGTGGACCAATCAGTTTGAAAGACAATGCATATATTATCAGAGTATGTTTTTTTGTTTGCATTCTGACCACATGTATTGTGGTTAATGCAGACATGACTCCTTGTAAAAGGTGTTATTTTTTATTGCCAGAAAAAAGGGGGAAAAAACTATTCTTATAAATAGATTGTGTACGGAATGAAAATTCAGATCGTAAAAAAACACTATGTACATTACATACACATGGACCAGAAACATGAACATTGACACAGAAAAGGTAAACAACTTGAAGAAAAAAATGCGTGGACCGCATGATTTTAATTACACCAACAAGGAACATTCACGAAGTGTGTCGCTGCAATTTGAATCTAATTTTATACATGAAATGTCACTGATCCTGTTCTATCACCGTGTACTGTCAATGTACACATTTTGGTTGAAATCGGAGCATCACACTCCGCGAGCATTTGCTTTGAGACAGGAAGAACACATTGATTAGAGACCACACGGGAGTTTAAGAAATCGAAATGACTCACGGTTAAATGTATTTTGAACCTCTTTCGCACCATACGTAGCCAATCGTGCTAATCGGGGGTGCGGGGGAAGGTCAACAAACTAAACACAAAAAGCAGTTCTAAAAAAATAGTGCGCTTGGGCAAAGACACATTAATACAATCAATAATGACCGGTGGTCGAGACGAACGCAGTGGCAGCCACTGGTGCGAACACGCCCAAGAGGACCTCTGTGGACCGTCAAGCATGGCACGATAAAATGTTGGCACACGTGTAGGTGCTAAATGGATTCTTGCATCGTTAGACCATGAGAGATGGATGGCTTTCACCCAGCTGTAGATATGAGATGGATTGTTGTATCACAAGTGGGGTAAACCGCTTTATGCGGCCTTCATCCAGAAGTATGCAATTCATGCCTGACGATGGCGATTGCCACGTAAAGGCTGCCACGGCTTAGGCCATCACTCTGGCCTCGTGCGGCCACGATGAGATATGTGGGTGGGGAGATGTCACCTTCTCGAGCAGCTCCTGCTGGACGACCTGGACCTCCTGTCTCACGGAGGCCAGCCTCTCCGTGGTGTTCATTATCTCGGCCTTGACTGCACTCACGCAGACGGGGAAATGGTGGTTGACTGTGTAGTTTGCCCGACTGCTCATCTACCCACGTCTGTCGGCTAAATCCTAACTTGAAGAGTAGGGAGCCTGGAGAGGGATCTGGATGAGAGACCTGTGGGATTGAGGGAGCTGTGGGATTGAGAGACCTGTGGGATTGAAAGACCTGTGGGATTGAGAGACCTGTGGGATTGAGGACCCTGTGGGATGGAGATATCTGTGGGATTGAGAGACCTGTGGGATTGAGGGACCTGTGGGATTGAGGGCCCTGTGGGATCGAGGACCCTGTGGGATTGAGGGCCCTGTGGGATTGAGGACCCTGTGGGATTGAGGGCCCTGTGGGATTGAGGACACTGTGGGATTGAGAGACCTGTGGGATTGAGGGACCTGTGGGATTGAGGGATCTGTGGGATCGAGGACCCTGTGGGATTGAGGGGCCTGTGGGATTGAGGGACCTGTGGGATTGAGGGCCCTGTGGGATCGAGGACCCTGTGGGATTGAGGGCCCTGTGGGATTGAGGACACTGTGGGATTGAGAGACCTGTGGGATTGAGGGACCTGTGGGATTGAGGGATCTGTGGGATCGAGGACCCTGTGGGATTGAGGGGCCTGTGGGATTGAGGGACCTGTGGGATTGAGGACCCTGTGGGATTGAGGGGCCTGTGGGATTGAGGGGCCTGTGGGATTGAGAGATCTGTGGGATTGAGACCTGTGGGATTGAGGGACCTGTGGGATTGAGGGTCCTGTGGGATTGAGACCTGTGGGATTGAGGGGCCTGTGGGATTGAGAGATCTGTGGGATTGAGACCTGTGGGATTGAGGGGGCTGTGGGATTGAGGGCTCTGTGGGATTGAGGGCCCTGTGGGATTGAGACCTGTGGGATTGAGGGCTCTGTGGGATTGAGACCTGTGGGATTGAGATACCTGTGGGATTGAGGGGCCTGTGGGATTGAGAGACCTGTGGGATTGAGAGATCTGTGGGATTGAGGGCTCTGTGGGATTGAGGGACCTGTGGGATTTGAGGGCCCTGTGGGATTGAGGGACCTGTGGGATTGAGAGATCTGTGGGATTGAGAGATCTGTGGGATTGAGAGATCTGTGGGATTGAGAGACCTGTGGGATTGAGGGGCCTGTGGGATTGAGAGATCTGTGGGATTGAGGGCTCAGTGTGATTGAGGGCCCTGTGGGATTGAGGGCCCTGTGGGATTGAGGGGCCTGTGGGATTGAAATTGAGGGCCCTGTGGGATTGAGGGCTCTGTGGGATTGAGAGATCTGTGGGATTGAGGGCTCTGTGGGATTGAGGGCCCTGTGGGATCGAGATAGCTGTGGGATTGAGGGGCCCTGTGGGATTGAGGGCTCTGTGTGATTGAGGGGCCTGTGGGATTGACATTGAGGGCCCTGTGTGATTAATGGCCCTGTGTGATTGAGGGACCTGTGGGATTAAGGGCCCTGTGGGATTGAGGGGCCTGTGGGATTGAGGGCTCTGTGGGATTGAGGGCTCTGTGGGATTGAGGACCCTGTGGGATTGAGGGCCCTGTGGGATTGAGGGCCCTGTGGGATTGAGGGCCCTGTGGGATTGAGGGACCTGTGGGATTGAGGGCTCTGTGGGATTGAGAGACCTGTGGGATTGACATTGAGGGCTCTGTGGGATTAAGGGGCCTGCGTGGTCACCTTCTTGCCGCTCCTGTGAGAATTCGAGGCGCTCCGGCTCCAAGGCGACGCTCATGGCCGCTCGCAGCTCGGGCAACTAACACGGGCGGTTAACGATACAACTTGGCAATCGTTGTTAACAACAAACTGCTACTCCTGTGCTAGCAACAAGGCAATGAGTTAACTATTGTTAACAATCAACAACACAAACAACAACTACCACCACCACCTCAGGCCGCGAATCCAGCACCCGGCCTATCTGAATAAACGCGGGAAAAAATTCCCTCAAATGTTTGATTTAAAAGCTCGTTATTATATATGTAATTCCATGTCAATAACTCTTCATATCATTCAAATGAATTATAATATACTGCAGTTGCGCATAGTTTTTATTAAAACAATGTTCGTATAATTGTGTACTGTACTCCCTATACTGTCGCACGGATGGTATTAGCCGTTTTTATTCACACATATTTTAACATCACGTGGATAAACTGTTAATTATTATTAAACGCTTTGATTCGTTACGATGTATTAAACCAAACAAAGCTGGTCAAAACGTTGCAATAAAATAAGCGTTTACAGTGTCACCTGTTTTCTCGAACGTTACTATCCGTAGTAGAAAATGTAGCAAGGTGCGCGCAACGCCGCGCCTGTCAGTGGTAGCAATTCTAATGCCGTTGCATTTCCGTTAAAGCAAAATTGTGAAATATAAAGTCTATTTATTTCAATTATTTTTATTATTTATTTTTACCTACGTGACTTTACCGAAAACACCTAAGAGTATGAATCCTTGCAGTCACGAAAACTTCAAGTCTAGAATTATAAAGTCGCCAATCTTAACAGCCCGAGACAATCGTGAACTCTTGACCCCAGAGCACTGCGCCGCGGTGTTTGTTGTGCGACTTGTACCGTGCTACACTTTGGAAGATTTTTGGAAGATTTCTCCACAATTCTGGATTTTCGCCCGATTGGTGCCCGTTAATTACTGGCGGGGCACGGAGTGTGAATGTTGTGGAGTTTCTCTCCAACACAACACCTCTGCCGTGGTGGTTGTTGAGGCCTCGATCGATGGCGCGGCCACGTGGACGGGACAAGGAGAAGCCCTCGGCCCTCGTCCACGTGGCGCTGGGACGACAACTCGACCGCGACGCCAATGGCGCTTCACGTCGTCGCCGTTTCAAATGTTTCATGTCTTAGATGTTTCATATCGCACCCGTTTCAGATGATTCATATCGTAACTGTTGTAGATGTTTCATATCGCACCCGTTGAAGAGGTTTAATATCGCACCCGTTTCAGATGTTTCATATCGCACCCGTTTCAGATGTTTCATATCGCACCCGTTGTGTCAGATGTTTCATATCGTAACCGTATCAGATGTTTAATATCATAGCTGTTGTAGATGTTTAATATCGTAGCCGTTTTAGATGTTTAATATCGTAACTTGTAGATGTTTAATCTTGTAACCGTATCAGATGTTTAATATCGTAGCTGTTGTAGATGCTTAATATCGTAGCTGTTGTCTTAGATGTTTCATATCGTAACTGTATCAGATGTTTAATATCGTAGCCGTTGTAGATGTTTAATATCGTAGCTGTTGTAGATGTTTAATATCGTAACTGTTGTAGATGTTTTAATATCGTAGCTGTTGTAGATGTTTAATATCGTAACTGTATCAGATGTTTAATATCGTAACTGTTGTAGATGGTTTAATATCGTAACCGTTTCAGATGTTTAATATCGTAGCTGTTGTAGATGTTTAATATCGTAATCGTTTCAGATGTTTAATATCGTAGCCGTTTTAGATGTTAATATCGTTGCCGTAGATGCTTAATATCGTAGCTGTTGTAGATGCTTAATATCGTAGCTGTTGTAGAAGTTTAATATCGTAGCCGTCGTTTTAGATGTTTCATATCGTTGCCGTAGATGCTTAATATCGTAGCTGTTGTAGATGTTTAATATCGTAGCCGTTGTTTTAGATGTTTAATATCGTAGCCGTTGTTTCAGACGTTTAATGACTCGTATCTAAATGTAACTAAGTTAGAGAGGTGACCGTTTCAGCTGCCCTAACATCATCTAAATCCCCCCTTCCTAAACCGAATAGCTGCGTTAAAAAAAACACGTCTTGATATTCCGGTAAATCACCGAGTAGTGCCTGGTATTTAGAGAGATTCGTGAATGCGTTCAGGAACCACGGCACTGGAGATGGAGTGATATGGCGTGCAGCAGGAGGCAATGTGCTCGGTGGGTCGTTCACATCCCTCAGGGAAGAGACAGCTTCAACGAGGCCTTCATCCAGCAGTGGATTGACCATGGCTGATGACGCTTTATGCAAAAGTGCAGTAATCGATGTCGTGTTTATATCGATCACCGTGCCCATCACTTTATTAATCAAACCGAGCGTGACACGCTGCACGCGTCATCTCCCGGGTCGGTATTTTCACGAACAGGCGGCATTGGTCATTGTGTGGTGAAGTATTGTCAAGAACATGCTGCACCCTGGGGTGGAGTCGGGGTCTAGGGGGGTGGAAACGATGAAGGTTTAAGTTCAAAGTTTAGGGTTTCGGCAAAAGTGAGCCAGGCTTCATGGGGTCAAGAGTTCAATACAGGGGTGGGAAAATCCTTTTCTGAGATTCGTATCGGATTTGAAGCTTTCGTGACTGCAGGAATCCATACTCTTTGGTTCTTTCGGTAAATTCACGTATTTAGAAATAAATTACATAAATCACGACGTTTTGATCGCAATACAAGCAGTCATCAGGCCAAATGACGCTGCTAAAATCTGACAACGCAAACTCCCCGTGAGTTAACATGAACATTTTATTACCTTGTCCCAAATCACAATAACGATTAATGCAACGTGTTGTGCTGCTGTCTGCGGTGCCGTCTGCTTATCTCCACGTGGTCTTCGCGAGTCATTTGGCAAAAAGGGAGAAAAACCATGCACACGCATGTGCTTTGTCATCGCATACGAGTGACCGACACTGCGTTTGTCTTCCCAAGCACTGTGCAGCAGCACTCAACACCGCAATGACGAGTGGCTGTCGCAACACAAACGCCTTTAGGAAAAATGCAATTGCAGTACAACGTTTTTTTTACGTTTTCATTTTATATTGTAATTGATTTATTTTAATTTCGATCGGTTGAAATTTGTTATTGCAGTACAAAGTTTTTTTTTCAGTTTTTATTTAAATTGTAATTACATTTCTTAATTTTAATTGGTTGATTTTTTTTATTGCAGTACAACGTGTTTTGTGCTCCCGATTTGGGTCCCCACGTTGAGAGCAGATTAGGTCCCGATGAGCAACATTCGACTTCATAATAATATAAACAAACCAATCGTTAACATTGGATCATGTTTAAACACGAGTAAAAGTGCCACCACCCTCCCCCACCACCAACCCACCTGACAAACGTAACATGCATGGGACGCGTTCCAACCGTGAAATGTGTCGGGCCCGCGTTGAGTAACCCATAGGACATCACCCCGACCATCACAGGCCCGCTTTTCCCTGGCGAGGCCCGGGGTGCCCCCCAAGGCCCTCTGCGTGACAAGAAGACCCTCTGCGTGACCCCGGGGGCAGCCGGCGCCTGGGGCCGCACGAGTTGCGCGCCGTGTGCAGCGGGAGGACCTTGCCCTGGGACAGGGGGCAGTACTTGAGGGTGTGGGCCACGTCGCCGCTCTGGCCGCACTGGGGACACGTGTAGGCGCGCAGCACGGGGCACGACACGCGGCCCGCGGTGTCGCGGAGGTCGTGCGAGCCGTACACCCGCTCGGTCGCGCCGTTCGACAGGCAGAAGGAGCAGAGGGGAGGGGGGGGAGGGGACCCCCCCACGGCTCGCTTGTCGTCGGCCTCTCCCGGCCCCTGACGTCGCAGCTGCGCGGCAGCGGCCGACTCCGAGAAGCGGTCGCGGGGTCCCGCGGGGGTCCGTGGAGTTGTTGGGAGTGCGGCTCCCGCCCCCAGGGCTCCGGTGCCCGTGTGTGCATCCTCCTTCTCGTGCCTCTCCTCCTCCACGTGGCCCCCTTGGCCCACCTGCGTGGTGATGGAACGACGCTTCGATGAATGGTCGATCAATATCGACTAAATTAAGCTAACTGATCGAGTGTTTTCCCTTGACCGAAATCCTCCCGACTCCCGTTGAGACCTCCGACTCTGCTGCTGTGTTCACCACCGAGCTGGGCAACCACGTGCAGCGCCATTGTTGTTCATGCGCACATCACCAAACCGCACCGACCAGCAAAGGCGAAGTATGGTCAAATTAGCACGGCCCCACCAAACGGACCGATGTACGTACACTATCCTGTTACATGTAAAACGCTCCATGTAAAGTATTCGCTTATCAAAATAAATTCCCCTGCAATATTGAACAAAAAAACAATCGGTGGGGAGGGAGGGAGGGAAATTTTTGTTTGACAAGATGGCAGCAAATGCCCTGCGTGTTACCTGGACGGAGGAGGAGAGGAGACCACCCAGGCCCAGGTAGTCTCTCCACGAGTCGAAGAGTCGCTCCGTTAAGCAGCTCCGCTCCGACGTGGCCAGTGGCGGGGGGCCCACGTGGGAGCCCCCCACTCCAACATCAAGAGGCGGAACGTCCGAACCCCCACGGAGTGACTGGAATGTGTCCGCACGCGGTCCCTGTCCTGCCATCGTGTATGTATGCCGCAGAGTATCACGCGTGGACTGTAAGAGTTCTACACAGTATACTTTGCAGCACTTAAGAGTGATCTGTACTTAAAGAAACGATGTACTGAATTTTAGAGTACATTAGACTCTAGAGTGCTATACTGTGTATTTGAACATCATCTGGCACTGGAAATCACTACAGTAGTAGCCTGGTCCATCAGTGGTACTCTACCCTCTGGAGTCCTCGAACACACCGCAGTGCGCTCCCACGCTGATCTCTCCTTGGTTGACCCCCCCACGTGGCGAGCCTCCGGCACGGAACTCTCCTCTCCTCCACGCGGCAAACCTCCCGGGGGGGGAGGGGGGGGGTCCTGAACGTCACCCGAACGCCAGACAACAAACGGAAGCGTCGCTTCCGTTGTCTGAGTTGCAGCGAAGTCGTCATCCCAGCGGAAGTGTGGCCGCTGGGTCGCGTGGCAACACCAAGGCGGCTGTCGCGCCGGATTAGCGAACACCTGTCGTAGACAAGGCGGCAATTGCCGGATTGTCCTCGTAGCAACAGTAGCGACATGTGGAGTACTTTCAAGGGCCACGCGCTAAATGCTTTCAAGCTATCAATTCCAGTTCAGTGATTTTGCACTTTAGTACTATATACTACCTTCAACTTTTATGAACGACTGGATGTTTAAGGTTAGCGAGTTGTATTGTCTGGCTGTATAGCTAATGAAAATATACAATTACTTTACTGTGCAAGTTAAACATGTTTTAATGTGTTTTTAGGGCTCCTTTATAACAAATGCTACAGGCCCCGCACTCGCGTAATCCGCCACTGTAAGAAGGGAATGCCTATTTGCCCGAATGTGTTGCAAGCCGAGTATTGTATTCTGCAGCAGGGCGCTGTAGTTTTGTTAACCATTGTTCTGCGTTGCGTTCTGTATAGTTTCACGTCCAACGAGGAGGAACCCCGTTATGTATCGGAGAGGGAAGGGGATCCTGGCCTCTACGACGCTGGTAGTCTCCCACCAGCATTGGTTTACGCCCGACTCGGCTGAGACGAGAAACGTGGAATTCGGTAGGGTAGAGAATTTGCGCGTAATAAAACTAAATGTTGGGTCAGATCGCGTAAAAATGTCGTTAAACCCACCAACCACCCGACACAGCTAATTAGTAAGGGTTGTCCCGTAAAAAAACGCATAAATGAGTTACTGGTAATCGCTGGCCCACGTGTCCAGATACTGGACACAAATTTTCCATTGTGGTGTCGCTGGGCCACGCTGAGGTTAGGCGAGGACACGGGGATTATTATGACATTGAAGCCGTGGAGGAGGAGGCAGTGAGTTGGCGGAGACACGAGGGGGTGGTGGGGGTTTCGAGGAACTTCTAGAAGGTTCCAGCGTTCGGGAAGGGATGTGGGGGAACGGCAGTGCAGCAATTAATGCGCAGAGCTACGGATCCGACAACTCCAGTTCGATTCCAGCTCATGGCCAACAGCAGTGACGATTATCTGAACCGGTCCTGGTCCTCCCCGAGGTCGACTCGGCCTCAAATGAGAACCTGGTGCGGAACCATCGCCACTAGGGAGACAAAGGCGGCCAGGCGTGGCACTGGCCACCCACCCCGTCGTAGACCCTGTCGGCCTTATTAGGTGCTCGCTAACATCACTTAAAGCCTGTAAAGGGCACATGGGATCTGTCTTTGGTGTTGAATAAAATCCCGACCGAGATGTCCTCACCTTGAACATCGTACACACAGCCATTTTTAGATGAAATAATCGACGCATTCGCTTGCAATGCTCGATATAATTGGGTTCCATGCCCGGTGTTGTACACAGTCGTGGTGTGTGGTCTAATTAGCATTAAATGAGCACCCGGTGCCGTGTGTAAACATCAGCCAGCACTGGGGAGACAAAGGCGGCCGGGCGTGGTGCTTGACCCACCCACCCATGTGTGCACCGTTTCCGACGTTTAATAGGCGCTCACAAGCAGCACTTTACCCCCCCCCCCCCCACGTGTGCACGGCTGTAGCGGTGAGGTATGTGCACGTGTACAGCTCCTGCTTGCCGGGCTTCGGTGCGGGGCCGCGTGTGCGTGAGTTGTGACTCCGTGCGAGACTCCGTGTGTGCCTGCCTGTGTGTGTGACCGTGTGTGACTGCCACTGTGTGTGTGTGGCCGTGCGTCTTCCCCCGTCTTCGTGACTTCCTCGTGTGTCGTGACTGTTGGTGACTCGGCGCTGCCCGTGTGTGACTGTGCACGACTGTGTGCGTCTGGTTGTGTCACTCGACATGCTGCTGCTGCTACAAAGTACTTCAACCCTCCCGCCCAGACGCCCATCCATAGAGTCCGCACACCGCAAGGCCGGCCTGGGGACAGACGGCCCCCTGGTGGGCGAGATGGGCTTGAGGGGGGGAGGGAGGGGGGGTGCTCGGGCTGCCCTGCCACGGTCACTTGAGGGTCAAGCGTAGCAGCTTCTTGACCTTGGAGCCGATGCCGTGGAAGATGAAGTGCGGCTCCGTCTCGCTTGTGATCACCAGACGGTTCTTCTCGTCCACATTGAAGTCGTGCGCGTTGAGTCACACACACACACCTAGCGCAAGACGCACCGGATGCAAAACACAGACAAATATCACCCGTATAGCCTTAACAGACTGTTGGGGTAAGTGCTTGTTAGCGAGCACATAAATCTCCCCAGTGGCGATATTTACACACCGCACCAGATACTCTTTTGAAGCTGAGTCGATGGGGGGAGGGGGGTGCCCAAGACCGGTTGAGATAATCGTCACTGGTGTTGACCGTGAGCGTGCTAACCGCTGCGCCACCGCTCCCCACACTCACACAGACACCTGGCTCACACAGACACCCCCGCGGGGTGCCTCGGTCTGGCTCCCAACTTCACGAACCCCACGACGCCGAGCGGCAGACATGAGGCGGGGGTCATGGTGTGGGATTCGTGCCACGGAGCTCGACCCAGATTCCACGAAGCCCGCACTGGCGGAGTCAGCGGTGGACGTGGGACGGGGTCACTTTGAATTCTCACCGGGGACGCGCACGCGGCTCACGCGTGTGGCCAGCGGTTACCGATAAGCTCCCGAAATGTTGGGGAGTCCCCACGGGGGTCTGCATCTTTGCACGTTCACGGCTTAATTTGCAGGCTCAGCGAGTTTAATGCAACGGATATTTTTTGTAATCTAGCGTGGTTTTTTTCTTGTCATTGCATCAAAGTCGTCAAGGCGAGAACCACCAGTGACTGCGACTCTTCCGTCGGCAATAGGCAGACTTCTCAAAAAGAATTTCGCAGCGTGCCCTGGAAATGACCCGAAAACTCTTGAAATAATCTTTTGACAATTACAGCTGGACATCTAAACCATCCCTATTTGTAACACTCTTTCAGTCTGGCGGAAGCGTCCGCACGATCCGTACAACGTTGCCAGTGGCCCGGCGACCCGTACGCGAGGCGCCACAGCTCCCCGGCAGCAGAAGGGCTCCCATCGCCGTGCCCCGTCGCTAATCTGCATGAGGCCTCGTCTGGCGTGACGAGTTCACACGCGGCGTCCCCACTCGTCGCCACCTAAGCTGCCTCTTCCACTCGAGATCATCCGATCAGTCGCATCCGATAGCAGCATCCAAAGCCTGCGTCAGCCAAAGGCGGCAAGCATCTCGAGGTTGTGTTACCTGTGCCTCGCAGCAGCAGCAGCAGCTGGGGTAATCATCAAGGCAGCAGGTGTGGGTGAACCTTCCCCTTACTCGTGGCCAAGTAGGACTTGTAATGTAAAAAAAAAGGGTCTACGTAGACACCGACATGACAACACCAAGTTTATTAGAGGTGGCAACAAAGTGCACTTGGCATGCCTCCTGTACTCACGCTTTGCCAGATTAAAAGTGAAAAACACAATGTAACATTCCCAGTGTGAAGAAGAGACGAGCGTGTTTCATCACTGACCTCTGTATCTTCAAAGCGGCAACTATTTATCTTTTATATATATAATTATACGTTAATATATTTGCAAACTGTGTTTCGGAAAATACATTATTTACAGGGCTTTGTCACTCTACGCCTTAGTGTAGCATTTGTGGTTTGATAGCCACACGAATAACCCACGTACTGTCCTTACTGCTGGCTAAAAGGCCTCCCCATGCCACGTCATTCATGGGGATCGTTTGACCATACTTCACCACGCTGGTCAGTGCGGGTTGGCGAAGTGGGGGTCAAGCACCGGTTCGGACATCGCTCGCAACGGACGTTGGTCATGGCCGGGAATTGAACTCTGGTCGCTGGGTAACTAGAGCGGTGCACGAACCACCGCAGCACCGCTCTACCCGAGTAAAACACGGAGGGTAGTGAGGGAGTTTATACAAAACAGCTACGGGACCACTGGGACGGGCAGCGGGGTTTTACTGCAACACAACCAGACACTACTGAACTTCAACACACCATCGCGATGGTGGTCCGCAGCGGCATGAACTGTCGAGTGCTCAGGCCGTGCAACTGTACTGGGGGCCCACGGGCCTTTGCCCACAATGCTGCCCAGTGCGTGCCGGTGGAGGCAGACGGCGTAGACGAGGGAGCGTAAGAAACACGATTCGGCAAAACCGGCGAATGTTTCTGCGCTGCCCATCGCTGCCCATCGCCGCACACAACGTGGCGCCGTAACACCGTCCAGGCGTGGAGGCCGCCCATCCAGGCACTGGCTTCCGAGACGCCTCTTGGTCGGTCACTCGAGGCCGAAGCCCTCCGAGTTGGAGATGGCGATGCACAGCTTGGTCCGCAGGGAGCGGCGAGAGCGGTACGGGGGCAGGCACAGCTGATTAAAGCATGTGTGCGCCACGGGCAGCCTGCGCTCACACAAAACAAACGCACAGATCCCCCGTGTAGCCCTTCGTTAGGCAACAGCGGCACGTGCTTTCTAGGGAGCATCTATGGAGGGCAGCACGGTGCGTGGAGGAGGTGGTGTAGGCCAGCACTATGCCCGTCCGTCTTTTTCTCCACCAAACACTGACGTTTACATAAGGCACCGGGGACTAATTTAGGGCCGAGTCAACCTATAGGAGGCCCTGATCCAGTTTTAGATAATCACTAGCCACTGATGTTAGCAGTGGCCCAGAATCAAATTTAGGTTGACGGGTTCATAGCACAGTCAGTGGACACGTGGATGCACTGTGGGGGGGGGGGTACCTACCAGTCGGTGGGCACGTGGATGCGCGAAATCTTGAAGTGCAGCTCCTGCACACCGCCCACTGGCACCCGGTCGCTTCCCGTCGCAAAGTGCAGGAGGCGTTTCTGCAGGTCGAGGGCGAATTCGTGCACCACCTCCCAGAAATACCTAGATGGCAGGCACAGCCATACAGCATCACCACCTTCAGGATCCTCCACGGACTCACCCCTGCCCACCTCTCCCCTCTCACATCGCTCTACTCCACTCACGCTCTCCTACCTTGCCCCTCTCAAGTCAGTGTGTGGGGGCGAGTGCAGGCTGCGACAGTCTGTGGGTGAGTCAATGCGTTTGTGGCTGATGGTGAGTCGGTGTGCGGATGAGTCAATGCGATGGCGAGTGATGGTGAGTCGGTATGTGAGTGAATGTTCATAATGTGCGGCGAGTCGGTGAGTGTGACGAGTCGGTGAGTGTGACGCACCGCACGGTGGGGTCGCTGGCGGTGTAGCCCTCATATTCGGTGGCCGACTGCAGGGCCCGGAGGTCCAGGGTCGCGGAGCCGCACACGAGCGTCTCCACCTCCTCCGCACGCAACATCTGCAAGCCGACGCACGGGTGTGCACAGCCCCGTGTGTACGTAAAGTGTATGCGGTCTATGTATGTGGATATCCGCGACAGGGCCTCTCTAAAGGAGTACACGGGGCTTCTACAAAGGTCCACAGAAGTCTCCTTCCTCCGATTACTGACCACACAGAGAGGTATGTGCACGCTATGGCGGTTCATACAACACGGAGGTGTGCGTGCATGGATGAAGAGTGAGCATGCGGGTGTGTGAGGGTGAATAATGAACAAGTGAGTTTTAAAGTACGTGGAAACAGGTGGCTGTGCGTGTATACACAGGCGTACGTGCGTGCACACTCGGCATGTACGTACGTGTACACACAACTTGTGTGTGTGTGTGTGGGTGCGCGCACGCTCGCTGTGTACGCACTGCGAGTGCCGGAGAGGTGCACACGCTGTGGAAGCCGTGGTAGAAGGCAGCGAACCGCTGGCACACCGACGTGTTGAGAAGGTAATCCACGTACATGGCCACAAACTCTGGGGGTTCACACACATTCACAGCACTATTGGGGACACGCGAGCACTGATTGTCCAGAGGCAAATGAAGCATCGTCATGAGTCTCGGGTATTCTGGTAAAGTGTCCAGAAACAATGCTAAGCTGCATTGCCACCGAGGACTTCACACAACTAACACAACTAATTTCCAGCCAACCCGGATTTTATATCGGTGCACGTAACTCTAACCACGAAGCAAATGCTAACAACCCAAGCTAAAGGGGTCACCACTGATGAAAAGTTTCCTCCCTTGTCTTGAACTGGTATTCAACAAAATATGAATGTGAGATTCACCGGCACTCAGCATAATCCGCTAATTTATTTCTGTAATACCTAATGCAGTCTTAAGAAAATGTCTATGATTGTGCGTACAAGCCCAAGCAGCAACTTTTGAAATCCATTGCCTAGAAAGTCAACTCCACGATTGTCAGCTGACATTGCGTGCCTACAACGACTGCACATAACCACTACTACTTAGCACACGAACAGCTCAACTGCGTATCACGTGGCCCATGACAGACACATATCAACATGTCTATTTCACCACATCAACCCTTCCTAACCTTCAAAGTTACACCACCCAGCCCTGGAACGACTCCACTCACCGTCTCGGTTCAGATTGGTGACAGGGATGGAGGCACCTCCTGGACACAGCTCGTGACTTCTCACAGAACCAAACTCATCGCTTGAAACCTGGCAGTAAGGGTGAGTGCAAGGCAGGTAAGCGGGGTGAGTTGGTGTGGGTGGTGAATTGGTGAATGAGGGTGATTACAGGGTGAGGTGCAGGGAGGAAGGGGAGAAAGATCACCTGGAAGGTAGCACACATGTCTGTTTCCACGTCGCCTTCGTACAGAAGCAGCTCCTGCAGCCCGCGTGCCAGCTCCTGGGAGGCGATGGTACAGGGCAACAGACTTCATCATGGAGGGCGGTGATAGCCAATATAACACCATCACACTCCACACCAACAGGACCATCACCACAATGACACGGGGTACAGCGTCACAAGCCACACCGACATCAGAGTGGATTGAGGCCCAGCACACCATCACATATCACTCCAACATCACACCAAATGCATTCATGTGTTTTAACTTAAGCAACGTGCCAATGCGAGAGAGACGGGGCACCCGTGGTGGAATGTTGCCGCACAGCCCCGCAGCGCGAGCGGTTTGACAACGCACTAGGGACGTGCCGTTTGCGCGTGGGGCGCGCGGTACCGGCATGACGCAGCCCAGGTCGCCGAGCGTGAGCGCGCAGAGCCCCACGGGCACGCCGGGCTCACTGGGCGCCAGCGGCGGGCTCAGTAGCTTGCGGTAGCAGCACAGCGGGAAGTGAAGGTCCAGGGGTATGCTGTTGTACACAGCGAGCCCCATCAGCTGAGGTAGGAACTTTCGGTTAACGAGGAATAATCAAAGCTGGAACTCTGGCCTTCCACGATAGCTGCGGCTAACAAATTCCTGGGAGGCTCCACCAGGACACGAGGTGAGCTGGCCGCCCCGACGTAAGCCCCGCCGACTTCTACATAGCCACGCCCACTCGATCGCTAGTCCCGCCCACAGTACGTGGCCTTGCTGTTTCTGCCACTGGCCCTGCTTGCTGTTCACAGGCCCCACCTTTTCTGCAGATAACTCCGCCCACTGCTCAGGTAGCCCCACCCCTTTGCAGTGCCATTGTTGGAGCACGAGGCCAGAAAATTATAAATCGGCTACAAAATCCCGAACTTTTCAAACGCTTCTGGACAATGGGACAGCCTATTACGAAAGCAGCAATGCCCATGCCAAGCCAGGACATTGTTCAGCTTGACCTTTAGCCCCCCAATGCCAAAGGTTTACTCACCCGTGTGTAGAATTAAACACGGTGAACACGGCTACCTAACTCTACGTGCATGCAAGAATGCGCCACAGTTTTGTGAGCTCTCGTATATATATATCATATGTTTACAAAATGTAAAAGTGTTGTATGTGATCCCTCCCTTTCCGCAAAGATACGGTCCCGATGAGAGAGAATTCCGAGTAGTTGTCGCAGTTGAAGCTGCGGAACCAGTAGCAGCGTGCCTCCCTGTGGTACACGAACATTCCTGCATGCAACCGTCAGGGACACAAAGACAAAGATCCCCCGATGATATCATTCAGAATCAGAATATTTATTGACACTCGAGGAATCCGATGAGCTATAAAGCTTTAAAAAATATACAAATTATACTAAACTATTTTTATCTTACCAGTTAAAGCCCACTGAGCTATTAACATCTTTTTCAGAAGTGACCTGGCCACAAATTATAGCTCAACAGAGTGATCATCGTTTGAAAATCTATAGCAGCAAAATGATCGAGCCGTTGGGGCGAGTGCCGTTAACGAACACCGACACGGCAAACGAGGAGGGGGCGGTGCGGTTAGCACCACACGCAGCCGCATTCGAGTTGTCAACTTCCAGCTGGAGGTCGGCAATCACCCACCGTAGTCAGGGCGCAGGACCTGTCGGATGAGCAGCAGGAACCACTCCTTGGTGAGGCCGCCCATGTCCAGCCCCACCTCGCCAACAAACTCCACACGCAGCTTCTTCTTCAGCTCGGCACGCTTGCGTGCCAGCTGCAGCAGGGGCGGGCCAGGAGTGTGTTTAGTTTGTTCTCCTTCTCCCCCGCACCTGCCAATTAGCATGGTTGGCTACGTACGGTGCAAAATAAGTTCAACATACATACGTATACATCCACGAGCTTTGCGACGAATCACCGACCACCCCGACGAAGTACACCCTCTCTCAAGTCACAGTGCACGTGCCGGAGTGCCGCAGTCGTGTTGTGCTGGTGCATGCTGGAGGGGATGGTGTGGTAGTGGTGGTGTACTGCTGGGGGGGTGGTGGTAGTGGTGGTGTATTCGTGGGCGTGTGCTAATGCAATTGCTGGCAGTGTTCTGGTGGTGTGCTGGTGGTGTTATACGATCATATTATGGTGTACGGATGGTATTCGTGCTGGTGTATTGGTGTCCGTGTGCTGTCGTGTTTGTAGCTGTGTGCGGGTGGTGATGGTATGATTGTGGTGGTGTGCTGCTGGTGGTGCATTGGTGGTTGCGTTGCTGGTGTTGGTGCGTCACTAGTGACAGTGTGACTGCTGTGATAGTCGGTGTGCTGCCGTGGTAGTTGGTGCGTTGCCGTGGTAGTTGGTGTGCTGCCGTGGTAGTTGGTGTGCCGGAACCTCGCTGAGTGAGTCGACCACGAGGTGTGCACGTCGCACTCTCAGGGTGAGGAACAGCGAGTCGACGTCGGGCCGCTCCCGGCGTGAGACGCGCTCCACCACGCTGCGCTGGTTGCACGACCCCGGCAAATCACCAGCAGCACCAGCGACACACACGCACAGCACCGTGACACATTTACAGTTCCGCTGCATTTTTAAACGAAGTACTCTAACACGCAGGACAAACGTGATGGACACATTCAAAATGATGACAAGGCCAAAATGGTCGCAACCTTTGCCGCTACCACAGAGCATAACAGACTTCTACCGTCATGCAGTGTTGTACACTGCAGTGGAAATGCTCAACATGAAATGCAACCAAGTGATTTTTAGGTAAATTAACACGTGAGAGACATGGAAGTGTGCGCCACCACACCCTGGCCATGGTGACCATCTGCTGCTCCGAGTCCTGCTGGATGATGGCCTTCTTGGCGTGGATGGACAGCATCCATGGAAACTGGCAAAATGAGAACCTTCCGGAGCACAGCACAACATCACCCTCACTAAACTGCCCTTAACTTGCACGCCATTTCACCAGTCCTCACTAGACTCACTCTACACCACCTGAGCACTCTCATCGATTAGCACCGCACCACTTTCATCATTGCACGACTCTTGCCACCTACACTACCGGTCTCCACCGCACCACTCACCATCCTTGCACCACTGTCACAGCACCACAGCACCACTCGCACGACCGTAACGCACACCTTACATGCCGACACCGATCTCATTATCCTCACCCACCACACCACTATCACACTTCACCACTCCACTCTCATTACCCTCACCCACGACACCACTCAACAGTTAACGCATCGATCATATATCTTTGCTTCTTACATCATTATCAACGACCGTGTGTGTGTGTAGTGTGGCGATGCCTGTTCGGGTGGATCAAGGGGGCTAAATGGGCGCGGCACGGGCTAGAGAAGAAATGGAGTGATGTGGTACAGGAGGACGTGGATCTGAGTGCACTTGCCGATGACTGGTACCAGCGGCGTCAAGATCGGCCTCTGTGGAGGAGGCTCGTGAAGGATGCTACTGGGCAGTTGGAGGCAGTCGCCCTCCAACAACAACGGAGGGCGGAGGAGCGACGCTCACAACAACGAGCGGAGCGCCGGGTGGCTAAAGCACAGCAAGTTGGCACAGTAGGGAGCACAGGTGGTGCATCAGCCAGTCATCTCAGTCATCTCAGTCAGTCGACCCGTGGCACCTGGGTCTGCCCCGTGACCTCCTGCCAGCGGGCGTTCGACATTTCACGTGGCCTCAAGGTGCACATGGCCTGGCACTAGCGTCGTGGTGATGTCACTGCCACTTAGTGGCGAATGGCGGTTCTTGTTGTTGCAGCGATTAGCGCTCCGCTCCGCTATGAACCCGGGAACCCAAGTTCGATTCCCGCTCACGGCCAACACCAGTGACGATTATCTGAACCGGTCCTGGGCCTCCCCTAGGTCAACTCAGCCTCAAATGAGAACCTAGTGCAGTGTGTAAACATTGCCACTAGGGACACAAAGGCGGCTGGGCATGGTGCTGGCCACCCACCCCCTAGTGCGCCGAGCTGGCTTTCATAGGTGCTCGCTAACAGCACTTGCCCCAACAGTCTGTTCAGGCTATATGGGGGATCTTTGTCTTTGATGCCTGTGTGGTGGGCCATGCGGGGGGAGGGGGGGGGGTAGTGGCACCTTTTGGCACGTGGGTTGCACTGCCAAGCAAGGTACTCCTGGGTCAGGTCCACGTGGTCGAGAGAAGAATTGTAGAACTCGGAGTAGGGCAGCCGAGGGGATGCACCCAGCACATTGGCTGCATCTGACACACACACAATACAAAAACAGACTGTTGGGGCAAGTGCTATTAACGAGGACCTATGAAGGTCGGCACGGTAGTGTGGTTGTGCATTGTGGTGGGGTGAAGAGTTGGTCGGTGCAGCGTGGGTCGGGGCAGTGTGGGTCGGGGCAGTGTGGGTCGGGGCAGTGTGGGTCGGGGCAGTGTGGGTCGGGGCAGTGTGGGACAATACAGTGTGGGTATATTCCAGATGGTGCATGTCCAGTGCTGTGCACTGCGACGGACTGCACGCTGGTGTGTGTGCGGCAGGCTCTAGCTGAGCACGGCGCGTGGAGGAACTGACAGAGCAAGGCCGTGACGCGCACGGCAGCCGGGATCCACCAGCTGCTCTTGGCTGGCGGCGGGAGCTGAGCACCTTCGTCCTGGCTCATGCGCAGCGTCACCAGCGCGTGCAGCTGCCCGAGCAACGCCCGGAACCGCGAGATGTGCAGCCTGCCATCGCACGCAACACTGGCACTCAAGACGTCACCGTGGCCAAAGCCGTTGGACTTTACCACACCTCGCTATCAAGTCTTTCTACCCTCTTTGCCAGATCCCATAGCTGCTGCAATAGCGGTAGGGCTGTTAATGTCATGGTTTTTTAGCGTTATCAAAAAATTGCATGCAGAAATATGAGAATATTCGTTTTGATTCATCAGCCTTCACCATCCGCATACTGACCAGCTTGATGAACTTTGGTCAAACGAGTCCAACAACTGACATGTTGGAGTGAGACCTTAATCCAGCAGTGGAATGACAAAAGGGCTGTATGGGTTTTTTCTCGTGATGGGCAGTCACGTGACCGATCAAATTGGAAACGTTGCACGGATTGAATGTTCTCATGTGCCAATTGGGTCGATTATCACTGAGATTGAACTGGATTCGATTATAGATTTTTGATCGATTTTCAATTTAAAAGATCAATTCCTGCAACTGTGGATAGACTCACAGCTACCAGGGGAATTAGACATTTACACCACTGTTCTCCAGGCTGCAAATTGATGAAAAAAAGCTTCACATTGTTTATTTGAGCAAGAAATAAGATAGCAAGAAAACTATTATTTTTGAGTGGCTGCGCGCGTGTCATGTGGGTTGTGTGGCCTCTGATTTTGAGATGGGAAAACTCACCGGTGCAGCCAGTGCACGAGCGTGCGCTGCTCAGGGAGCAGCAGTGCCGACACCTGGCGCAGCACGTGCGCAAAAATGACACACGTGCTACTCTGTCCAAACTGTGGGTTCTGGGCGCCGTGGGGGCAAGGCAGAAGCAGAGATAGAGGAGGCGATGTTAAACATTCAACATGTACTGCATAGGTTTTCGTAGGTGTGGCGGTGCTGTATAGAGGTTGTGCTTTATAGCGGCTGCGCTGTATAGTGGTTGCGCTGAGTAGCTCCCCAATGTGGTACATGCAGCAAAACGTTGGACAACATGCCGAGCGACCCGAAAGCGCATTGGAGAGCTGCAATGACACACGTGCTACCCGTGTCGAAACTGTATTCTGGGCGTTTGGCGGGTGTGGCAGTGGAAGGGAGAGGCAGGTCCCGCATACATCGGTGGATTGGAAAAAGGTGGCCGTAAATGGACATGTACAGTTAATCAAATAAAATTTTGTTTGGAAACTGTACAGAATGGATAGAAATGTATAATACTTTCCAAAAAACATATCCTACTAGTGAACAGGATGTAAATGTATGTCACTCATAATTTGACCGGATCGAATGAGCCAAGTACCCACAGCATAGACGGGGAGGGAGATCGTACCTGCAACAGGATGAAGTATGCTCGCAAATCATCTTTAGTCCTCGGTCTGAAACGGTGGGTAAAAACAGGTGGCAGTGCCGTTTCCGTCATCTTTAAAGCATTGTGATTATAAACGTTGCAGTATATATCACGATTGCCCAAAGCTAACAGGATTGCGTGCAAATGCAGTAACACACAATCCTCTGCAGCAAATCATGAATTACTGCAGCACACACTGCGCTTGTAAATTCACGACCGTTCAGCGTGCACCTTTTGAAGGGGCCTGCACATTCCCATACCTATAAATCTCAACGTTCACCCTACAAAGTCCCATCACAAGCGAGAAACACAAATAGACGAAACAAATGTTGCCCGCATTGAAACAGCTGTACGCCGAATAGACCTGAAAACGAAGTTTCCCTGTACATGAATACGGGTAAACTGTATGGGTTGACAGGTATGCATTCCACAAATTAGCAGCGTAAAAGGTCTCCACTCGCGCACACGCGCAACGTCACGCGCTCAACCCACTCCTTCCACATCCCCAACTCACCCCCTCCACTCGCGCAGCAGGCTGTTGATGATTCCCTTCAGCGCGGCCTTCTGCACCTCTGCGGGCTGCGGTGCAGAACAACGCGCGCGGTCAGCTTCACAGCGCAACGTGCACAGCGCGTTATATAGCGTGCGCCCACGCCACGCGCCAACACTCACAGCCAGTGTCCACAAGGCCAATGATGCAGTCAAACACTGCTCTCATATTGTTCATATCCTGCTGCTGATAAACTTATTAATATGTAAAAGGGCGGTCGTGGGTCGCAGTGTTAGTACAAACTTATGAATGGGTAAAGGTGCGGCACAGTGTCGGTGCTGACCGTGTACAGGATGACATCGTAGACCGCATCGAGTAACGCAATGTGGACTCCTGCTCCATCCAGTCCCATGTGTAGCTCTTTCTACACACACACACACAAATACAAATATCTCCCGTATAGCCTTTAACAAACTGTTTGGGCAAGTGCTCTTAGCAAGCACCTATGAGGGCTGGAACGGCACACGGGAGGGTGGGTGGCCAGAACCCCGCCCGACCGATTTTTACACATCGCACCAGCTATTCACTTGAGGCCCGAGTTGACGAATACACACATACGATGACCCACGTGGCCACCCCCTGTACAGACACTGCCCGTGTGACGGAGGCATTGTGGTCGTACCTTAAAAGCCGAGTTCACCTCCTGGAAGGAGTCGAAGGTGCGGGCGTAGAACTCCCGCACGAGACTCCAGTCGCCGCTTCCCTGGGCACTCTCCACATCCTCGCTATTGCTCGCACGGACAGCAACACGCATCAGCATCAAAATACATCCCTTAGCTGTGGCAGGGGGCATCAGTGATGCTTTAGAAATCAACTCTCTTCACCTCTTGCGGTCTTTTCAATCTGCGGAACGTCTGCCACCCTAACCCTCCTTGTCCAAAACATCGTGTTTCCCCAAGTGTGCCCTTAAAGTTGTGCGTGTAGATTGTGTTCAACCTGTAACGATCCATACTGCTGCTCCGTGGAAACACGCTGAAGCCGAGGGAAACGTTATAAAAAAAAATCCTAAGGCTGGGATGCGATCCCACATCACGTGAGGTAAAACTAAACAGCCTCGGGTTCTATCCCCTCAGCTACACCCCAGGATACCACCTCTCTTGCCCCCCACACACACGTATGTATGCTGAACGTCTTTTTGCACCGGACATAGCCAACCGTGCTAATTGGAGGTCAGAGACTCAGTGATGCGCCTGTTTGTAAAGCTGCGGGGCGCCACGCTGTGAATTGCGAGGCGCGGGTGCTCACTCACACGAACTGGCGTGCGGTCCTGTACCGCGGGACGTGAGGAGACGCCCTGCTCTTCTGTGCTCGGATGTCAGGCAGCTCCTGCCCTGTGCGTACACGCACAGCACACGGACCATCGCAAGCAGAACTTCACTGCTGGGAGGTGGACAGTGAGCAACAGGAGCAAGCGGCGGCATAGCTATCGAATGTGCAGACGTTCGACTGCATCGGGTCCTACGAGCCTGAGCCACCAAGCTACAAAGAGGGCGGGGCTGGGTGGCCAGCACCCACCGGGGTACGTGCCAACCACGCTACTGCCTCTGGCCACGCAAGGCTGTGACCATGAAGCTTCAGCCAAAAGCAGAAAGACGCGTGGACTCCTTCACAATTGTGCACCTCCACAGGTGAGAGACAAGAGCGGCAATGGGACCCTCTCTGTGGGGGTAAATGGGGTCTGTGAGCGAGCAGTGAGCTTGTTCAAGGCCACTTAAGTGTTTTTGAATGCCCGGGGGAAAATGTCAGACAAGACCGACTCGGCTGAGAAGAATGGAGCAAACTGCCCCACCTACCCCTCACCCTACAGCCCTGGACCCTGTCCACCACCCACCTGGAGCCGCCTGGAAGAGGCAGGGGGGAGCCGGGAGCGATAGACGTCCCAGGCTCCTTGTGCGATCCTCGTCTGTCTCGCCGTTGCTCAGCTCCGGCTGAACAAACGAAATGGGAAAACCTCCCGATTCAAGCTGCCCTCGAATTCGTCGAAAAACGAGGCTCACCACGAGACACCCTTGGGGATTCGTTGGTGAATGGGCCCCGGTCTGCCATGGATGCCCTGGGACGTGATGGTGAATGAGCCCCCCAAATGATTGCTCTGGGAATTGTTGGTGATGCCCTGGTTGAGGAAAGCTGTCCCTGGGAATCGTTGTTTCTTGTTGGTGGTGCTGGGCCCTGGTTGCTTCAACTTGGGCTGCGTTGCTCTCCTCTCTCCCGCGTTTGCCTTCTGCTCTGATGTATCTTTTTGTTAAAGCGTCTTGAGATGCGATTGCATTTAGACGCCATGTAAACTGACATCATTCTATGTATCGACACGAGCCACACGGTCCTCTCATCAGAAGCAATCCCTGATGACAGAATGGCAGCGGAGTCCACGGGGTACCGGTGCCAGTTGTGAGCACACACAGCACGGAACCTGGTCCTAAGGGGAGTACACAAGTGACATAAGAGATACCAGCGTGAGTGAACACAGTTCGGTACCAGGTAGGGAGAGGTGAGCATTCCCCGTGTGCCCGGCCCCAGTGGGGGCAGCCTCCCGGACTCCTCCCGCTGTCGCCTCCGGCGCCGCCGCTCCCCCCCTCTGCTGCTTCCAGGGCCCGAGCCTCGCGGGGTCCGTGGCTCCTCCTCGCGACCCCCGAAGGGCGAGGGGAGACGCGGGGCCCGCGGGGGCGAGGAGAGAGAAGGGTCAGGCCTCGGGCGCCGGTTCCCCTTGGGGTCCCGGTGCGAGCCTTCCCCCTGCCCCTCCCTGGTCCCCGTGTCCCCTCCACCGGGTCGTGCTCCTCCTCGCACCTCCACGGGGCCCGTGTCCCGTCCTCTTCGTCCCCCCACGGGGCCCACGTCTCCTCGTGCCTCCATGGGCCCCGCATGTCCCGGGGACCGCGTCGTGGCGAGGGAGGAGAGGGGTTGCCCCCTGCGGTGTCTCGGGTCCGCTCTAAGATGTGCGCACGCACGTTGGACTTCGTTCGCACCGTACGTAGCCAACCGTGCTAATTGGAGGTGCTTAAGCCGCTGTACGTGTGCGACGATTTAAGTGCCGCGTGATTGTGCGATCAATGCAAAATCAGTGATTTCGCGCGATTCTATCGATTGCACAATCTCTTCATTAAATGTCACGATTATCCAGTGGCCGTGACGCGAGTGAAGGTGAAAGTCACGCACTGCACCCTACGTTCGTGATGGGTAACAGACGGTGCGCGCATATCGACTGATAATCGATCTGCGGTGAACTTCGTGCGCCGATATCAGCGGTTCGGCGGCGCTGTGGGTGTTGATATGTCGCCGTGACGATGATGCTGCGCCATGTGCACGCGTGCGCCGGTCGGCGTTGACGATCGCGTGTCAACAACGCTCACGACGGCGTCGTGGTGGAGGTGGTGGTGGTGTTGGTGGTGGTGTTGTTGTCGGCACCACAAACACCGTGAAGCGACGAACGCGAGTGGCGACGGTGCGCGCTGCGACACTCCACGTTCAACTTGCGGCTCGCGCAATCAGTCGACAGGGCGATGACAACCACCACAACAACAACCACCACAACAACCACAACCACCACCACAACCACCACCACAGCCCCTGGAGGTCGACGCTGCACGCGCGACTAACGCGACGCGACAGCGGCGATCAATGAATTCCACCTTCGTCGAATTAAACTCCCTCCCTGCCTGCCTCAGCCTCTCTCTCGTCTCCGTGACCCCAACAGTACAGGGACCCCCTCGACAAGACGGGGACCCCCCCACCAACAGAACAGGGACCCCCTCAACAAGACGGGACCCCCCCCCCAACAGTACAGGGACCCCCTCGACAAGACGGGGCCCCCCCCCCGACAGAACGGGGACCCCCCCCCCCCCCCCGACAGAACGGGGACCCCCTCGACAAGACGGGGACCCCCCCCCCAACAGTTCAGAGACCCCCTCGACAAGACGGGACCCCCCCCAACAGTACAGGGACCCCCTCGACAAGACGGGGACCCCCCCCCAACAGAACGGGGACCCCCTCGACAAGACGGGGACCCCCCCCCCCCCCCACGATGTCGCCAAGCGCCGCCGCCCGGCAAGTTCCTCAACGCGCGCGTGTCTCGAGGGTCAAGGGCGCCGTGCCGACATTACTCGTAGCGATGTTCCTGTGAGCGCCGCCGCCGCTGCTGCTGCCGCCGCCGTCGTCTTCACGCCTCTCGTCGTGGCCGAGCGCCGCGGAGACGAGCGCGGGCGCCATGACGGCGTCGCCCGGGGCAACGGCGGCCTCGAGTCACGCGCGGGGGGGGGGCGGCGTGACGTCACGCGCGGCCGCTCACGTGACCCCCGTCACCTTGACCCCCCCCCCCCCAACGGCGTTCGTTGCGTGCGGGGAGTAAGTCCGATGAGCTGTAAAGCTCTTTGTGTCCAGTAAAGGGGGGGGGGGGGGCTCAGAATATTACAACAACAACCACCACAATACAAAAACAACGACAGGAGTGCACGGTGTAGGAAAGGTAAACAAATCGCCGTGGCGCTGATTATGACCCCTGTAATCAAAGACTGACAGATGCTGGATGATTGAAGCCAGTGGCGTAAATTCCACATTCCTATGGCGGGAGCGAATCACTCCATAGTACAACCATGGTTGACTTACCCACAACGTGGTAATAAATTTATCGGCCCAAGAGGGATGATGGGCTGAGTTAATTCACAACCGGGATATGAACTTTACCGCTGAGCCACCAGGCCAGATTACTCTCAGCCACAGACAATTTTATGGAAGTACGTTGTGGGCAGCAGACCAGTGTGGTGAAGTATGGCCAATTAACCCCCATAACCATCGTGGCGTGAATGCATAAAGGATGGTGCATGCATATTGCACGTAGGTTTTGCACTACCCAAAATAAGCATTCGGTTCATTGTGGAGAGTGTAATAAATAAAACACATTCCTGCGGAGGGAGCTGGTAGGAACGTTGGGTTGCTCGGTCAATGGCCAGGGTCAACGACGGAGTGGTGTATTCTGCAAATATGCCCGACTGTGAGGGCGGGCACAAGCCGGCGTGAGTAGGTTAAACGTTGAGTTTTATAAGGGCACCACGGGTGACCAGCCCCTCCCCACCCAGCCCCTCCCCACCCAGCCCCTCCCAACCTCCACCGCAGCCCCACCCTCCCCACCCAGCCCCTCCCAACCCTCCCCACCCAGCCCCTCCCTGCGCGATGGACGGACGGACACAATAATCCCTTGTGGGGTGGTGGAACCAGTGGGTTCCTACCAGTATAAGCAGACAATATACATCTGCCCATCATCTATCATAAATTCAAGCAAGGCTGAATCTGCTGATGAGACACTAATTGTCTAAACCGGTCCAGAGTTTTGCTTGTACCCAACACAATGCTGCTGACATGATCTGACTCCCAGAGGGTCGTGTGCGCGGCTGATGGGATGAGTAGAAACATTGTCTTTGTGCAATTAATTTAATTTATTTGGTATAGCCCTGTGAGCCATTCGGCTCTTGAATCGGGTGCAACCGCAACAAACAAAAAACAAAAACATGAACAAGAAAACATCTTAAAGTGACTGCGCGCAAACAGAAAAATCCATGAAAAAACTGCAAAGTCTTCCAGAAAAAAAGCACCGTACACCAACGCTGTGCAAAAATCCCAGTGGGATGCAAGTCAAACAACAACAACCACAAGACAACTTAGATTAAAGCCATCATTCTAACTCCGTACTACAACAAACAAACATAGCCAAACCAAAAAACTTTTCGAAATCAGTATTGGTAGGTTGTAATGGAATTATATGATTATTACACGCAATAACTTTTACCGTGCGCTTAATAATACATTTTATTTTCACGAATCGATGCATCGCTACACACTCATCACATCTGCATGGAACTACACTAATTGGATGTTCCACTGCGTGTATTACGTAGCACGGATTATATTAGCCAGGTATGCAAACCTTCATTAGAAGCCAAGTGAAATGAGAACACCGAATGTGAGATTAAATACATATATACATCCAGCAGCGGATTGACCATGGCTGGTGAAGATGACGATAATGATGATGATAATACCACATAGACGCGCATCCATCAGTGGTGGGAGCAGTGGTCCTGCAGGCGGTTTGTTTGCACACTGCACTCTGGACTTCCTGGCAACGGCTGACATCAGTGGCGAGCGATACCTGATCCAGTCGTGGTTCAGGTTTGCTGTGTAGTCTCTGACTACGAGGTTGACTTCTGAACTGCAGACAGCTTGTTCACGACACGACTGACTACTACTGCTACTACATGAAAGCCTCGCTAGAAGGCTCATCGATCGGCTCACTGCACATGGGACTTACAACCCAGACTCACCACCACAAAAGGCTGACACAAACGCCAAGGCCCACCACCACCCTCACCCCAAGGCTCACTCCAATCAGGCCCACCACCACCCTCACCCCAAGGCTCACTCCAATCAGGCCCACCACCACCCTCACCCCAAGGCTCACTCCAATCAGGCCCACCACCACAAGGACCACGACCACCACCACCCTTGACCTCACCACCGCGAGGCTACATTCTCCAGGTCCTCCGGTTTTTCCCTCCACTCTTAGAATGAACGCGCGTTTACAGTGTTTTTCCCCTCTACATTTCCATGCGATAAGCCACTTCATCGAGCTATCGTTTGCGATGGCCAGGTCGCTTCTGAATAAAGAGGCACACAGCTCAGTGGGAGCCTTACCTGGTAAAATAAAATCATAGTCTTTACATGGAGGGCTGCTTGCCGGCGTGCATGGAGTGATTGCGCTTCTTCTTGTCGCGCAGGGCGCGGTGGCAGGCCACCTCCAGCGTGCTCACCATGAAGCCCAGCGACAGGCCAATGCACAGCAGGTAGAAGATGCCCTCTGTGTCGTTGACGTCCACCGTCTTCTCCGAGCCGGAATCCTTTCCCTCGCAGTGGGGGCCCTTGGCCTCGAGCCACTCCTCCTCCAGCTCTTCGAGGCGGCCCTCTCGCTGCAGCGCGATGAGGGCGCGCGACACGGGCTCACGGAGCACCGAGCCGCGCGGGAACATCAGGGCCGTCTTGGACTTGAAGAACAACTCGCCAGCCACCTGCAAACAAAGGGGGGGGGGAGATGGAGAGGGGGGGGCGTTATATTTGTAACGAACGAGTTGGTTATCAAAGGTGGCACGTCTAAAGAAGAGTGGCCGTGTTTTCGTTGAATTGTCAATTTTAATTAGTGGTCATCATCGCCATCATCAGCGTCTTTATGGCGATAGACTCCCCAGGCTGTTTCCATCCATTGCGGTCACAAGGCCAGTGATGGATGGAAACGATTCATCCAGCTCCTGCACACGGACAGATTTCATTGCTCCATCTCGTCGGTGTGCCACCTGTCAGGCTACCACCAGCTGCACCCCTCTACATCGCCACCTCCACACCTCCACACCACCGCGACGGACGATCTGGCTCCGCAGCGACCTCGCGACCACCTTGCCTGATGCAGCACCAACCAAACACGCGTCACACAACCACCCGCGCGGGCCTCGCTCGCGATCTCCACGCGAACCGTCGCCACCACACCTGCAGCGTGCAGTTGGTGGTGGTGGCGCGGTAGACCGCGGCGCTGGAGCCCAGGAACACGAAGCTGCTGTTGCCCACCATCTGCAGGCCCTCTTCCTCGGAGCTGAGCAGGTGCGGCTTGGGGTCGTTCTTGCTGTTCTGCTCGATGTGCTCCCAGATGGCCTGGAAGGGCTGCGACCGTGCGCCGCGCAGGAATTCCACCAGCGGGTAGCCGTGGTAGGTGTTGTACTTGAAGTCGTTCTGGTCGACGAGGTCGGCGAGCGACTCGAGCTTGGGCGAGTTCTGCGACTGGAAGATCGCAGCGAGGTTGGCGGTGTACGTGGAGATGGTGACGAGGACGAAGAACCACCAGGAGAAGGCGACGATCTTGCCGGCGTAGGAGCGCGGCACGACGCTCACGCTCTGCTGCACCATGCTGACCAACGTGAAGCCCAGGCAGTTGAGGAGGTCCATGCCGCGTCCCTCCTCGCGGGACACCTGCGGCCGGGGGTGGGGAGGAGGGCGAATCAAGGCCACTTTCACCATGGCCTCACACAGCAGAGGGCCCCGCCACAAAGAGACCCGTTGCTTAGTTGCTCGCGAGTAACGGAGGAGAGCGTGGGTGAAGGCCCTCATCCAGCGGTGGATTTGCGTGAAGGGCAAAGGGGTTGATGATGAGGATGCTAACGATGCACGTCAGTGCGTGTATAGATGATGGAGATGATGATGGTGTATGCATGCTGGCACGTGCGGAGACACCTTGCCACGCTTGGCCAAGTTGCGCCACTCGTAGGGGTCGAAGCGGTTGATGGCGGCGAGGACGAAGGCGACCACGATGCAGGCGAGGAGGATGGACAACCAGACCTGCACAGCGGGCAGCGGTGACGTGAGCACGGAACCCTACCCCCCTACCTTGACATATCACCACCACCTTGAGAAATCACCACTGCCGCCACCTTCAGCTATCACCAGCACCACCACCTTCAGATATCACCAGCGGCTTGAGATACCACCATAACCACCTTCAGATATCACCATCATTACTTTGAGGTATCACCATCACTACTTTGGAATATCACCATCACCACCACTTTGAGATATCGCCACCACCGCCTTCAGATATCATCGCTACTTTCAGATATCACCACCACTTTGAGGATATCACCACCACCTTGAAACATTACCATCTGGCAAAAAGGTCCCATAGATATAACTGCTCAACCCGAGCTATTAATACGTTGATACTTGCATTGTCTTTGTACTATTCTATGGTTCTCTCGGTAAAGTCACGTAGATAGAATAATGTGGAAAAAAATATCACGACGTTTTGATCGCAACACAAGCGGTCGTCATCAGGCAAAGGAGTCAGCCTCTAAAGGCAAGCTGTTTATAAGGGTTTGGGGATGAGCGTAGCCCAAGTGTTTCAACAGCACCAGGAGTATGGGGGGTGAACGAGTGCCAATGCAACAACAATGCCAATGCAGCAGAATGCCAATGCAGCAGTAAAAATCCCCGCACCCAGCTCCACACACCACACTGCTGACTGTGGAGGTTGATCGACAAGAACACACAAGTCAAGTCATGACCCAAAGTGGTTGATGACATCTTTCCAATGATTTCTGAGTCTATAACCTTCCTCTCGGTTGAAATGTTTTGTACTGTTCGACTTTTGGCGTTCTCTGGTCTAACAATGGTGAGATGAGGCCATAAAGAAGGCTGTCTCTGGTGGACTTTCAAAGGCAATGCATTTATTATCATAGCATGTTCGTTTGCATGTTTTGCAACAAGTTTGTGTGGTATATCCAGACTTGATGCCTTGTCATTGGTATCTATCTGGCGTTTGAACATCTTATTTTTTTCATCATTTTGATATTGGCAAAAAAGCTCCCACAGATACCATCTTGAGATATCGCCACGTTGAGATAACACCGTCACCATATCCACCACCAACTCGCGATGTCAACACTACGAGACAAATATCAATCTCAAAGCGACCATACACATCTCGTCTCGACCATTCCGTTGCCCTACGGCAGTCCAGCTTAGGGGAACCCCCAGCGGCAGGTGTCTCTACGTGGCACCGGCTTGGCTTGCGCCATCACACTGAGACTCCACCCGCTTCCCTCCGCCGCGGCCCCACGCCCCACCAAAACGTGGAAGGGGTTGAGGAACTCAAAGGCCCCGGACAGCTCCCTCTCGGGCTTGCGAATGAGCATCTGGTAGCCGCGGTCCATGAGTGGGAAGGAGAACTCCAGTTCACGGTTCTCCTGGTTGCCCCGCACGGGGCACAGGCACAGCGTGAAGTCAGCCTTGGGGGGGTGGGGGGGGGGTGAGGACAGGTGAGAGGAAGACGAAGTGGTGAGCACTATGCAGAGGTGAGAACCAATCACGGGAGTTCACAATCCACAGTTGCTCATCCATCCAAAGACGCTCAACCACCCACAGGTGAGCGCATATTCTCACCACTCATTTGCGAGTGAGGCGAGCAGAGCTCACCTCGTTCTTTGTGAGCTTCTTCTGGATGTCTTGCATCACGTCTTTGTCTTGGATGCCCGAAGTCACATTGGAGATGACGTATCTGAAATTGAGCTTCAAGGACAGATCCTTCAGCAGCTCGTAGAGGAAGCCCTGGAAACGGCCACACGCGGGGGAGCAGGGTCTCGCACAGCCAGGGACGCAGCCGAACAGAGGGGGCTCCTGCAGCACGCGGGGAGGAGAGGATGGCAACCGCGTGGCAAACTCACCATCAGTCACGTGTCTATACCACTGTCGACCACGTGTCAACCACGTGGCAAACTCACCATCTGCCACGTGTCTATATCACTGTCAACCACGTGTCAACCACGTGGCAAACCCACCATCAGCCACGTGTTATACCACTGTCAACCACGTGGCAAACTCACCATCATCTCACCATTAACCGCGCGAGCAACCTCGCCGTGTGTTGATGGGAGTGGTGATGATTATTGGGATGATGTTGAATGCGACGATGGTGATGGTGGTGGTGATTACAAGGGCCGCGGTAGTGCTACGGTTAGGGCGCTGCGCTACGAACCCGGCGAACTGGGTTCGATTCCCACTCACGGACAACGCCAGTGACGATTATCTGAACTGGTCCTGGGCGTCCCCAAGGTCGATTCAGCCTCAAACAAGTACCTGGTGCGATGTGTAAACATCGTCACTGGGGAGACAAAGGCGGCCGGGCGTGGTGCCGGCCACCCACCCCCTCGTGTGCCGTGCCGGCCTTCACAGGCGTTGCTCACAAACAGCACTTGCCCAAACAGTCTGTTCAGGTTACACGGGGGATCTTTGTCTTTGGCGGTGGTGATGATGATAAACGGTGAGTGTGGTGATGACGACGATGGTGGCGTCACCTCCACGGCGATGACCCGCACGATTCTCCCCTTGAACACGGAGGGCGAGGGGAGAGTCTGCAGCTCGGCCGTGAAGGACGTGCGGCCCGCACGGTGGTCACCCACCCTGACCTCGCGCTGTGGCGGGGTCACAAGGGGGGTCACACGGGGTCACAAGGGGGGTCACACGGGGTCACGGGTCACAAGGGGGGTCACAAGGGGGGTCACAAGGGGGGTCACACGGGGTCACGGCGTTAAAAGGGGCCACCGGTGTCGAGGTGAGAAATCCGCACCCCTCTCCTCCTCCTCCTCCTCGGGGCATCAAGGCGAGAGACGGCGACCCCTGTGACCCCGCCAGGTAGAGGGGGAGGGGGGCGATGCTGGAACGGCGAGGGAGGGGGGCTGCTAGAGTTGGGGGGGGGGCAGGATGAAGGAAGAGTTTCTGGAGGAGTCGGGGCTGCTGGTTGGGGGAGGAGATGTCTTGATCAGTGGGGGCTGGATGGAGGTGGGGGGCTGGAGCCAGTGTCGTGGGGAGGCGGGGGGCAGCTATATCAGGAGGCAGGGGGGGGGGGGTGCTGGAGCAACTCACGGAGTCGTTCCGCCCCAGCTCGAGGCTGTAGAGAGAGAAGTGGACGTCCTTGCGGAACCCGTCCGGTGCGAACTGCACGGGTCCCGTGAGGCCCTGCACCACTCGCTGTGGGGGTCACACGGGGCGGGCGGGGGGGGGGGGGCAGCACCACGTGACGCGGACCCCCTCCCACCCCTACAATGAACGCGACTCGTCAATGATATCGGTGGCAATCATCCGGCACGTGTGGTCATCGCGGAGTTACGATGGGTGCGTTAATTACAGGTAGGTTAATGATTCGCGTACCTAATTAGGAAAATACTATACGGGCAATACACATTTATATTGTGTAACTTAATATCTTATACCTACGTGACTTTACCGAAAAAACCAGAGTATAACTTAATGTTTTCCACAACGACGCGAATGCATGCCTGTCAACCCCTTATCCAGTGCCGTACCTTATTAGAGACCAATTCAGACCTTATTGGTCACCCCGTGCCTCTTATCAATGTCAACGTTCATCTTACAAAGTCCCATCACGTGGAGAGCAACGCAAAGAAATAGACACAAACATGTTGTTGTTGTTGCCCAGATTGAAACGGCTGTACGCCGTATGGACCCGAGCACCCGATTTCCCTGCACAAGGACACGGGGGAATCACCGTGCAGGTTGACAGCGATGTGAATGATTGTGCTGCTGCTGCGTGTGACTGTGCCGGGGCGTGCCGACAACCCCTGCAGGCGATTGGCGAGGATCGATGGCTCGGAGCCACCGCACCACACCCCCACTGAAGGAGTGGTGGCGTGATGTGGGGAGCGGTGGCGCAGTGGTTAGCGCGCCGCGCTCCGAACCCGGCGAATCCGAGTTTGTTTCCCGCTCACGGCCACCAACACCAGTGACGATGATCTCAACCCGTGCGCGGTATGTAAGTAAACATCGCCACTGGGGAGACAAAGGCGGTCGGGCGTGGTGCTGGCCACCCACCACCTCGTGTGCCGTGTCGGCCTTCTTAGGCGCTCCTCGCTAACAGCGCAAAAGTACCTTGCCCGTAAAGTGTGTTAAGGCGATACGGGGGATCGTTGCGGTATGGGGACCCCCACCCCTCCCTTGGCTATGAAGGTGGCGCACGAATCCTGAGAGGCCGGAGGTTCTCAGCTGGCCCTTGTTTGGCCGTGTTCACCATTGCAAGGTGAGAGCTGCATGATTTTGTGCTTAAAATTGCGATGATTCTAGAGTCCCTCAAAGTACTGGACTCGCATTGCACTTTGCACGACGGATGAGTCTCCCTCCCTCTCTGTGTCTTTGGGCCACGTGCTGCTCTATGGGTCACGTGATGCTCTGTGGGTCACGTGCTGCTCTGTGGGTCACGTGCTGCTCTGTGGGCCACGTGTTGCTCTGTGGGTCACGTGTTCCCTCAGAGCCAGCGGCGATCATGGTGGCCTTCCATCCATTGAGCTCTGTCCATGAGATTTACCCAACAACTTTGCAATCGAATTCTCCTCCCGGTTGCATACAATCTTCCTTATTGCCTACGGTGAAATTCAAGTCGATGTCTTCCGCCTCTAATGTTCCCCATTAGTCAAAACAACACTTATTTTCAGTCTCTTATTTTAAACGAAACTATTTTTTATTTTACCAAGTGAGACTCACTGAGCTATGTAGCTCTTTATCACAAGAGACCTCGCCACAAATGATAGCTCAAGGAAGTGGCCTATCACGTGGAAATGTATTCCAGCCAGATACTCTCACCATATCCCAAGGAATAATTCTAACTTCTGCCTTTCTCCAATCATTCTCATTCGCAGTCTTGTTGTGTAGCCTTGCTCTGCTCTCCCTAACACGTTCAATGCCGCACCTGGCTACGTCCAACACACATGCATGCCATCCAATCTTGTCCGAGCCCACTCAGCGTTTGTCTGTACGGCTGCCTGCCAAACGATATCGAAATCCTCCCCCACTCCGCCCCATCCCTCCCTCCCTCGGTGGATGGAGGGAGACGCGCACCCCCTCGAGCGCCTCCGCGGAGCACCCCCCGCGTCCCTTGGGCGCGGCGAGGAAGACGGCGGCGTCGTGCAGGAGGAGGCACGTGGTGGCGCACGCCTCAGCGGCGCCCGGCGTGCTGCACGGCTGCCCGCCCGCCGTGCCCAGCACCCGCATCACCGTCGCGCGCGCCCAGCCCCAGCTCAGCGGCAGCTGCAGCAGCCAGCGCGGGTTCGACTCCTGGTGCGGGTCACGAGGGTCAGGGATGATCGGAGGGTTACGGGGGGGGGGGGGGGGGGGGGCTGGAGACGACGGCGCGGTGGGTCGGGGCTCGACTCGGCAAATGTCCAGCAGCTGCCTTGAGCCGCTGTCTGCGGTCAGCTGCTGGGCTCGAGGGGGACTCGCCGAGGTGAAATAATCCGGCCTGAGCTCGACTCCGGGTCAGGGAGAGGACAGGCGGTGGGGTCATAGGGCCGGCCGGAGAGGGTGGAGCGGGCGAGTTGAACGGAGGGATCAAGGAGTCTCAGGAGGGTGTGGGCCCAAGTGTGGGAAGTAGGTAGGGGCGGAAGAGGTGAGGGGGAGTGAGGCGAGGGGTAGAGATGGAGAAAATGGGAGGCAAGGGGGGTTCGAAGAGGGGGGGGGGGGGGTGTTAGGGCTAGGGGAAGTAAAGTGCGGGGAGTTAGGGCGTTTACATATTATTGGTGGGGGGGGGGTAGATGATAGACTGGGGGCTGGGGAGAGGGTGGGATATTGCGTGCTGGGGGCAGTCGGGTGGCGGCAGGTGGCTACGTGGGGTGAAAAAGAAGTCAGGCGCACGAAGAGATCTCCTCTCCGAAGAAACGGCTCGAACCCAGAGAGACTCGCCGCCCACACGAGCACTGAGGCATTGGATACTCATCGCCTGTGCATAGCCCTGAGCCAGTGGTGGAAATTCCACGTTACTATGGCGGCGGCCGAGGGTTAAGAGGGGTTTAAGGTGGCAGGGGGAAACAAGAGACAGAGAGGAGGGGCACATGGGTGGAGGGGGGCGGTGGGGAGGGGGGAGCGGGTGGGGGACGGCAAGGGGGCAGGGGGACTCAGGGGGGGAGGAAACAGAGGAGGGGGGCCGCGGTGGTATTAGTCACGTGGTGAGTTATTGACGTCACAATGACTCGAGTAGAACAGGCCGCTAGAAATGGCAATCACCAGCGGACGAGACGAGCGAGTGGTAGTCAAAGGAGTGAGCTCGTGGTGGTTGTCACGTGGTGAGCGAGGAGGGTGTCACGTGATGGGCGAGGAGGTGGTTGCCAGGTTGTCACGTGTTAAGTGAGGATGTGTTTTGTCGCATGGTGAGCTAGGAGGTGCTGGTTGTTGTCAAGGTTGTCACGTGGTGACGAGGCAGTTGTGACGTGGCGAGCCGTGAGCGGTACCAGCATGGGCAGCACCCAGTGGTAGACGGGGGAGGTCAGTCCGAACTCGTCCGCCTGCAACACACGGGGTGGACACCACCGTGACACACACCGACTCACAGCCTCTCCCCGACTCCTTGACCCCTCCATCCTCAAATCCCCTCCAACTTCGTGATTCCTCCAACCCCGTGACAATTCTGACCCCATGACCTCACCGAACCCCCCCATCCCTCCCCCACTACTTTGTGACCTCTCTTCCCCTTCTGTTCCCGTGACCCCCTCTCTCCCATGAACCCCGATGTCACCCCGTGACCCCTCCGTTTCCCCCGGGGTCTCACCTCAATGAAGATGTCGCGGAGCCACGAGCGGCGGCACTTGATGATGATGTTTCTCACCTACAAGGAAGTCCGGGGGAGGAGGGGAGGGCACGCACAGCTCGCAACATTACACCCCCCCCCCCCCCGGCATTGTGTGGGCGGAGCTAGTGACCTGATGGGCGTGGCTATTGAAAGTGGGCGGGGTTGGCCGCGGGTTGAGACGCACAGAAATGTGGCAGCCTCATCCCATCTGAAGGCATTCGGCATCTTATTTCGTACGGCTGCTCATGCAGACGCAGGTGGCCAAGCCACGTAACGGCGTCAGGAGTAGCGGAGTGGCTGCGTGATGAATGGCTTCAGATTATGTCGCACCCCCCCCCCTCTAGCCCCCAGTCCCCCCTACGCCCTGCCCCCCTCCACCGCCCATGTAGAGGCGAAGCTCCATACGCCACGGGTGGCGTGTTTACCAATCATGGGGCGCGTGCAGCGTGTGCCACAACGCTGTTGTCATTGGCGAAATTGCTAATGGTAAAGAGGGAAACTTGAACGTTGGCGGGTGGTTAACGAGGACTTTGAAGTTTTGGAAACTTCAGCTTTACAAGGAGAAATTCCTCCCATCGTGTGACCCCCCCCCCCCAGGAGAAACAACAAGTGTCCCCCCCCCCCCCACGCGCACGTACCCGCTCCTGCCTCACGCGCTCCAGGAGGGTGCGGAGCTCGGGGGAGCCCGGCGGGGAGAGCCTCATGGTCACCACCCTCGTGGAGAGCTGCAGCTTCTCCACGAAGCCCACGTCCACGTGTTTGCCTGGAGGAGGAGTGACCACGACAACCACAACAACAATCACATCAACAACAACAATCACAACAACAACCACAGTGCACAGGAGGGGTCTCCACGGTTCCGTCAGCCCAGACAACGAAGGGTTCGGGGAGAGACTTCAAGGCAGAGATAGGGGGGTAGGACCCGGTCGAGTTGCCTGGGGGAGGGAGTTCCAACGGGTGGAGGGGGGGGGGGGTAGAAGGGGGTGGAGGTGGAGAGGGGGAGGCGTGTGCCTGGTCTGCTCAAATTCGGCGACCCCTCAAAGAATCCGCCGCACCTCGGCGTGCCTGCGGCGACCACGAGTCACGTGCCGCCTTCTATCTGCTCCAGTCTACGAGCGGTGCAGAAAGTGTCTCGTGAGAAATTGCTCGGCGAGAATTATGACGAATGTCTGGAAAGCCAGCAGGCGGTCAAACATCGCCCCCGACTGGCACATGGTGGCAATCATCGGTGGCCGACCATGGGAGCGGTCGCGTCTCCAGCCGTCGACAACACCGCGGCCCTGAAGTTGCAAGCGTATTCAGTATACGGTAATGTCTACCGACAGGCAACGTTTCGGGCAATGGCCCTTCATAGCAATGTCCCTGAGCTGGGACAGAGACAGTCAGAAGATGACCCCTGACCCTGCTCGTAGAGGAGTCCCGTGACCCCCCATGACCCTGGTCGTAGAGGAGGATGACCCGTGACCCGATGACTCTGGTCGTAGAATATGATGACCCATGACCACCCTCTGACCCTGGTCGTATAAGATGACCCATGACCCTCTGACCCTGGTCGTAGAGTAGGATGACCGTTGACCCTCTGACCCTGGTCGTACAGGAGGATGACCCGTGACCCTCTGACCCTGGTCGTACAGGAGGATGACCCGTGACCCCCCCCCCCCACCTGACCATGATCATAGAGGAGGATGACTCCGTCCCAGCGCAGATGAATGGCAATCTCGGCGGCGGTTCCGAGCAGCGCGGAGGCGCGCGGCGCGAGCTGCAGCCCGGACTCGGAGGCGTCGCGCACGGAGCGCGCGTTCACAGCGCAGCAGCGGGGGGCCGTGCGAGTAGATGGGGGGGTCATCCCCATCCGCCTCCTCGTCCTCCTCCCCGGACACCACGATCACGGGCCGATCCTTGGGCCAGGCGTCTGAGAGCATCGGGGATAGGGACGCGGGAAAGCGCCACAGTGGTGAGATGTTAACTACCTCGCCTGGCATACAGGAGGTCGTGGGTTCGATCCCGACCCTGCTCTGTATTTGGAGTTGGCGTGTTGTCTCTCTCTCCGTGGTCGCGTGGATTTTTCTCCGGGTCCTTCGGGTTTTTCCCCGTTAAATGTATACACATGCATTTAGAGTATTTGGCTGCTATAAATTTCCACGTCATAAGCCACTTGGTTGAGCGATCATTTGTGGCCAGGTCGCTCGTGAAACAGAGCAACATACAGCTCAGGGGGCCTTGCCTGGTCAAATAAAACAAATTGATACGAATTTACGTGCGTCATTGTCCGCCTTGTTTATCTCTTTGTGTATCCCTGCCCACCCCCACCGCTGTGTCCCTCTCTGTGTGTATGCCTGTCCCTGCCCCCCCCCCCCACCGCCGTGTCCCTGTGTCGCTCTTTCTGTGTCCCCGTGTCTCCGTGTCTGTGACCCTGTACCCGTGTCTCCATAACCTTCTCTCTGTGTCCCCGTGTCCATAGCCCCGTGTCTCTTTCGCCGTGTCCGAGTACCCTGTGTACCCTCCTCCTCCCCACCCCAGCCCCATATGTCCCTGACCCCGTGTCCCTGACCCCGTGTCGCCGCATTACCAGGGACCGCGATCTCGCCGTGGCTGTAGTTCAGCTGAATGTGCTTCAAGGACACGTCTTCCCAGGGCAGCGAATTCAGCAGCGCAAGCTCACAGCGAGACGCACCCAGGAACGAGATCCCTGGAGAGACACGGAGACACGGGGACACGGGGACAACACTCACAGCGAGACGCACCCAGGAACGAGATCCCTGCAGACAGAGACACGGGGACACACTCACAGCGAGACACGCCCAGGAACGAGATCCCTGCAGACAGAGACACAGAGACACGGGGACACGGGGACACACAGCGAGACGCGTCCAGGAACGAGATCCCTGCAGACAGAGACACGGGATAGAGGAGAGACGAGAACCCAGACACGCTATAAGGGAGATGTCCCCAGCAACAGCGACACAGGGACGTCAAGCCACTTCGAAGTGAGACACTGTGAGACACGGGGACACGCTCGCAACGAGACAGGTCCAGGAACGTGATACCGGGATAATAGATACAAATATCCCCCGTGTAGCCTTTAACAGACTGTTGGGGCAAGTGCTGTTCGCGAGCACCTATGAAGGCCGGCACGGTACACGAGGGGGTGGGTGGCCAGCACCACGCCCGGCCGCTTCTCTCTCCAAATGTGGAGATGTTTACAAACCGCAACAGGTAATCATTTGATGCTGAGTCGACCTATCTAACACACGCAACCTACCCTAACACACGCCACAAAGTGTTAGTGACGTCACTACGGCGCTTGTACCAGGCTAGGTGCACTCACACACGCACAACCATCCACACACACCCACGGTGCCGCACGGAGTGGCTGGGCGCAGCGCGGCCGCAAGGAGCAGCGGGAGGAAGAGGCCGAGGGACGCAGAGCCCACAGCAGGGGCCCTCCCCGGGGCCCTCCCCGGGGCCCCCACAGGGACCTGCACAGGGGCCTCCAGCAGGGTCCGCATGGCGCAGCAGTGCAGGGCGGAGGGGTTCCAGGTGAGAGCGACGGGGTCCGGTCCACAGGTGAAGGCGAATGAGTCCCTGGCAGAGTTTATGGGGTCCCGGGAAGAATTCAAGACGGGGTCCTCGGTATAGAGTAGCTGGCACCCTGCAGGGTCTAAGCGGGTCCCTGCAATGCGGCTCTGGGAGGGAGCGGTGGACGGGACGTGGCGCTTGCTCCGTCTCCCCGCGCCGATCTCTGACTCCGCGCCCCCCCTGAACATCGCTTTCATGTCCATTAATACTCACGCACCCCCCCCCTTCCCCTCCCCCCTCGCGACTTCCACTCCTCCACTCTCATCTCTGCTCAGTCTCCATACCCCCCCCCCTCCTCCTCTAATGCGGATGCATTATCTCGTCTCGCAGGGGAGCAGGAGCACGATTAAGGATCTAAATGTTTAATGGTGACGGCAATTAGCGTCGCGCCGCCCGGCTCCCTCTGTGAGGGGCCTCATGGATGGGGGGGGGGGGGGGGTTTGGAAGAAGGGGGGGGGGGCAAGGATCTTCTGTGAATACGTGGAGAGCGGAGGTGGTGGACACGGAAACCGTGCAGGAGGAATTAAAAAAAAAAGAATCTGTGCATCAGAATCTTGATGTAGACTGGGGGAATCCGATGCCCTGTGAAGTTCTCTTTCACAGATGCGCAGGAGGTTTCGAATTTGCGCTGGGGGAAGAGCGCTCCGTTGCGTCGACAAAACACACGGATACACGCAACAACAACTGGTCGGTGTGAGTCCTTCATCCAGCAGTGGGTAGACCAAGGAGCTGTATGGAGGCTCTGCACGTCGCCTGTCATCCAGCACTGGAGGCGAGGGTTGGTGGATCACCGCACAGCTGTCGTGAGACTCCATTCCCGTCGACGGCGAGGTTTCTGTACCGTGGCTCACCAGGAGGCGGCGGTAGAGCAAGTGGACTAATCGCCATATGTTTTCCATCTGTACGGGGATAGAGTGTTACCCCCTCACGCGAGGCGTGGGCTAACTCCGGGTGTTAATTCTAGATTTGAAGCTTTCGTGACTGCAAGTATTCATACTCTTAGGTTATTTCGGTAAAGTCACGTAGGTAAAAATAATAATAATAATAAAATAAAATAATAATAAATGAAAATAACTACGCTACAGTAATTTTACTGGAGGAGTTACACCTGATGACAGAGGCTTGTGTTGCTTCCGAAACGTCATGATTTAATTTAGTTATTTTCATTTATTAATATTTTACTATATTATTATTATTTTTTACCTACGTGACTTTACCGAAAGAACCTAAGAGTATATCTCCGGGTGCTCCGGTATCCTCCCACGTGTGGAACAAACACGACTCGTCGTTAATTGGCTGAAGTAATCATTAAAATAAAACCCCAAATGCAGGTGCCAACTGAAAATGATTCCTATGACTCAGGCGTGGCTCTCCCGGACACATCCATTATATATTATTCATTAAATAACCGTTTCATTATATTCAACGCGGACGTTCAGAACTCGTCATTCGATACCCAAACATCGCGCACCTCCTGCAGGCTTTGACGTTCCTCCTCCTCAAAGACACCGGTGGTGGTGGTGGTGGGAACCATCAACCGCATCATCAGAACATCAACAGCAGGCCGAGGCGCGCGTCTCCTTCATTGCCGTCAGCGTTAAAGACACAGGCCACGGTCGTGGGGTTGTGACCATGCAGCCCAAACTATGGGCCCAATTGTAAAACCCATGAGAGACCAAAATAGATCCATAGAGATACATAGAGACCCGTAGAGATACATAGACATCCATAGAGACACGTCGAGACCCATGCAGACACATTGAGACCCGCTCGCGGATCACGGGAGCTGTCTCGCCATACTTCACCACACTAGTTGGCTGGCGCAGGTTGTTGCTGGGCTCGGGGGAGGTGTGGGGCGAGGCGCGGCTGAAGGATATCTCCTCGTCAGTCACGTTGGCCCTGGCCGGGACTCAAATTCGGGTCGCCGGGTTCATAGACATGGAGTGCGCGACGTCGCTTTGCATTCGCTGTTTACGATGTGCGCTGCTCCGCGTTCTGTTAATGTATTGCACTTTAATCTGTTTGCCGCTGAGATATTTAACGTCGATGTGGCGGGTTGGCTCAGAGGTCGGAGACGCTGAGCTGGCAACCTCTTGAAGAGCGTGGGCTCCAATGCCGACTTTCAGCCACTGCCTGTGATGACACCAGCGTTCTCTCACGAGTCGCGAGCGACTCGATGGGCTCAGGACGGTCACCAATGACTCGCAGACAGACCCATCGACTCACATAGAGACCCACCGACTCACACAGAGACCCACCGACTCAAATACGGACCCACAGACTCATACACGAACCCACAGACACACACGGACCCACAGACTCACACAAAGACACATAGACTCACCCAGAGACCCACAGACTCACACAGAGATACACACACAAACCGACAGTCTCACACACAGACACGCAGACTCACCCAGAGACCCACAGACTCACACAGAGACCCACAGACTCACACAGAGACCCACATACTCACACACAGACCCACAGACTCACACACAGACCAACAGACTCACACAGAGACCCACATACTCACACACAAACCCACAGACTCACACACAGACACAGACTCACACACAGACCCACAGACTCACACACAGACCCATAAACTCACACAAAGACCCACAGACTCACACAGAGACCCACAGACTCACACACAGACCCATAGACTCACACAGAGACCCACAGACTCGCACACAGACCCACAGACTCACACAGAGATCCACAGACTCATAATGCCCATCACGTACAATATCGTCCTCTACTTGATTTGCTTGAACTTTCAGCTGATAATTAAAACGGGGGGGGGGGAGGGGGGGTGACCGTCACGTGACGCACGTCACTCCGGCAGAGCGGGTGGGGCAGTGCTGCCTCCTCCTGTGGGTGGACCAGAAGTCACTCCCAGAGGTAGCTCTGTGTGATCCACTTCAGTGGGCCGTACAACAAACAACAACAACACAAATGCACCGACAAAACAAACACAACAACAATGTAACAACAAAACAAACACCAATACAATAACATAAAAAACATCACAGCAAAAACGATAACACAACAGCCCAGCAAACAACACATCAACAAAACAACGCAACAAAGAGCACGGGAAACAACACAACAACAACAACCCAACACAACAGTAAGGGAGGGATTCCCCACGCAGTGACGTGGACCCAGGAGGTGGGGCGCCCCCCTCCACATCACAAACCCCGACCTTTGACCCGTTGTCCCCGTGGTAGCAGGAGAGGGGCGGGGAGGCGATTGCGTAACCTTTACTGCAGCTGCAGACGTCGCGAACTGCCCCGAGTGAGAAGGGCACGGACGAGTGGAGACCCACCCAGACCCACCCAGATCCGGCCGCCTTATCAGACCGACCCAGACCCAAAAAACCCACCCAGACCGATATAAACCCACCCAGACCCATATAAACCCACCCAGGACCGATATAAACCCACCCAGACCCATATAAACCCACCCAAACCGATATAAACCCACCCAGACCAAAAAAACCCACCCAGACCGATATAAACCCACCCAGACCCAAAAAACCCACCCAGACCTATATAAACCCACCCAGACCCATCTGAACCCACCCAGACCCATATAAACCCACCCATACCCATATAAACCCACCCAGATCCATATGAATCCACCCAGACCCATATAAACCCACCCAGACCCATATAAACCCACCCAGACCCATATAAACCCACCCAGACCCATATGAACCCACCCAGACCCATATGAACCCACGCAGACCCATATAAACCCACCCAGACCCATCTGAACCCACCCAGACCCATATAAACCCACCCATACCCATATAAACCCACCCAGACCCATATAAACCCACCCAGACCCATATAAACCCACCCAGACCCATATGAACCCACCCAGACCCATATGAACCCACGCAGACCCATATGAACCCACCCAGACCCATATGAACCCACCCAGACCCATATGAACCCACGCAGACCCATATGAACCCACCCAGACCCATATAAACCCACCCAGACCCATATAAACCCACCCAGACCCATATGAACCCACCCAGACCCATATGAACCCACGCAGACCCATATGAACCCACCCAGACCCATATGAACCCACCCAGACCCATATGATCCCACGCAGACCCATATGAACCCACCCAGATCCATATAAACCCACCCAGACCCATATAAACCCACCCAGACCCATATGAACCCACCCAGACCCATATGAACCCACGCAGACCCATATGAACCCACCCAGACCCATATGAACCCACCCAGACCCATATAAACCCACCCAGACCCATATAAACCCACCCAGACCCATATGAACCCACCTAGACACATATGAACCCACCCAGACCCATATAAACCCACCCAGACCCATATAAACCCACCCAGACCCATATGAACCCACCTAGACCCATATAAACCCACCCAGACCCATATAAACCCACCCAGACCCATATGAACCCACCCAGACCCTCATGAACCCACCCAGACCCATATAAACCCACACAGACCCATGTAGACCCATGGAAATCCATCCAGACCCAATCAGACTTATCCAGACACACTCAGACCTCGCCAGACGAAAATCAGACCCACACATGTTTAATCGGACATGCTGAGGCCCACCCAGTCCATGTCAAGCCTTTGTAGACCCATTCAGACCTAACGAGACCCATGCAGACGCAATGAACCGAGTCGTGAAACGTGACACGTGTCTGTCCTATCCGCCTACCCAGGGTCGCTATAAATGGGATAGGGCGATAGGGGCGGGGGGCCAGGGTAGGAGGGGGAGGGGACCCGTGCCACATCAGCTCCCATGGCGTGCACACTGCACCCTGCACCCTACACACACCCCTTCAAAGACAAAGATCCCCCGTGTAGCCTTAACAGACTGTTGGGGCAAGTGCAGTGAGCGAGTACCACCTCGGCACGGTACACGAGGGGGTGGGTGGCCAGCACCACGCCCGACCGCCTATGTCTCCCCAGTGGCGATATTTACGCATCGTGCCAGGTACAGATTTGAGTCGACCTAGGGGAGGCCCAGAGTAGGTTCAGATACTCGAAACTGGTGTTGGCCTTGAGCGGGAATCGAACTCGCAACGCCGGATCGTAGCGTAGCGTGCTAACCGCTCCACCACCGCTCCCTACACACCCCGTCAACGCACGCACTACCAACCCCGCCGCCTGGCACACGCATTGACCACTCCAGGCTAGGTGCTACTTTGAGGTGTCACGTGAAGTACCGACAGCTCGCTGACGGGAGCAGGTCACGGGGCAGGACCAGTGGGCATTGACTCGCTATGTTGAAAAGGGCCATGGTCATGAAACGTCGCCGATTACATTGATGTTTACGTTAAAGGTCACAGCGTTGTTATTGGCGAACGTGTTGAGTCGTTATCTGTGCTTGCACACCACTGCCAACGCAGCAGCAGCACCAGACGTATTGTCCCTTGTTCCGGGTTGACCGACTGAGATGACTGACAGTCACCACCTGTGCGCTCCACGCTGCGAACAACAACAAAGACAAAGATCCCCCGTGTAGCCTTAACAGACTGTAGGGACAAGTACTGTAAGCGAGCACCTATGAAGGCCGGCACGGCACACGAGGGGGTGGGTGGCCAACACCACGCCCGGCCGCCTTTGTCTCCCCATTGGCGTTTTTTTTTACGCACCGCACCAGGTACTCAGTTGAGGCTGAGTCGACCTAGGGGAGACACAGAACCGGTTGAGATAATCGTCACCGATGTTGGCCGTGAGCGGGAATCGAACTTGGGTCACCAGGTCAGGAGCGAAGCGCGTTAACCACTCCACTACCGCTCCCACTGTGATACACAAAGACAAAGATCCCCCGTATAGCCTTTAACAGACTCTTGGGGCAAGGGTTATTAGCTCGCACCTATGAAGCCCGGCCCGGCATACACACACTAACACACACACTCACACACACTGACACACTGACACACACACACTGACACACACACACTGACACACACACACTGACACACACACACTGACACACACACACTCACACACTGACACACAAAGATACAAAGATCCCCCGTATAGCCTGAACAGACTGTAGGGGCAAGTGTTGTTAGCGAGCACCTATGAAGGCCGGAACGGTACACGAGGGGGTGGGTGGCCAGCACCACGCCACACTGACACACACACACTGACACACACACACACTGACACACACACACTGACACACACACTGACACACACACACTGACACACACACTGACACACACACACTGGCGCACACACACTACACACCCAGCAAGCACCCCGATTTCCACCCCCATCCACGTGCCCTCACCCACCACCCACTCACTAGCCCGGGAACCCGTCACCCCGCGCTCACCCCTAACCCACTCCCTCACCCCCCACCCCCCACCCCTCGTCACCCCCCACCCCTCGTCACCACCCACCCATCGTCACCCCCCCCCCCTCGTCACCCCCCCCTCGTCACCCCCCCACTTCTCGTCACCCCCCCCTCGTCACCCCCCCACCCCTCGTCACCCCCCCCCTCGTCACCCCCCCACCCCTCGTCACCCCCCACCCCTCGTCACCGAGCGCCGCGAGCCGCGACAGACGCCCGACGGAGCGGCCCGGCGCGGAACGCGGCGAGTGGCCAACTGGAGCCGTGTGCACACGCGCGTGAGTGCGTGTGTGTGTGTACTGTGTGTGTACTGTGTGTGTGAGTGTGTGTGTACGTGTGTGTGTGTACTGTGTGTACTGTGTGTGTGTGTACGTGTGTGTACTGTGTGTGTGTACTGTGTGTGTGTGTACGTGTGTGTGTGTACTGTGTGCACGTGTGTGTACTGTGTGTGTGTGTACGTGTGTGTGTGTGTGTACTGTGTGTGTAGTGTACGTGCGTGTGTGTACTGTGTGTCTGTACTGTGTGTGTACTGTGTGTACTGTGTGTGTACTGTGTGTGTGCTGTGTGTACTGTGTGTGTACTGTGTGTACTGTGTGTGTGTACTGTGTGAGTGTTACAGGAGGGGAGCTCTGTTGGAGCACTGCCCGGGGTCTGGTGGTGACTTTTGTCCTCTCCGCTTCTCTCCCCGCTCGCCCCGCCCTCCTCTCGAACTCTCTCTCTGTGTGTGTGTGGACTGTGTACTGTGTGTGTGAGTGCTGTGTGTGTGTGCTGTGTGTGTGGGCTGTGTGTGTGAGGGCTGTGTGTGTGTGTGCGTGTCTTTCTGTCCCTCCCCTTCTCTCTCTCTCCCTGTCTCTCTCTGTCTCTCTCCCTGTCTCTCTGTCTCTCTCCCTGTCTCTCTCTGTCTCTCTCCCTGTCTCTCTCTCTCTCTGTCTCTCTTGCACACCCTCTCTTCTATCTTCCCTCTGCTTGTCTCTACCCCCCCCCCCCCCATATTTATCTGCATCTCTCTCGCTCTCTGTCTCTCCCTGTCAGTCTCTCCCTCGCCCTCGGCATCCCTCTCCCCGCGTCTCCCTCGCCCTCCGCTTTCTCTCCCAGGGGTTCGCGATGCCCGGAGGTCTATTGGCCTTGGTTGGGGGGGCCCTGTCCCTGGGTGGGGGGGTCCTCTCTGCCGGCATGGCGTGGCTGCTGGGACTGGTGGTTGTTCCCTCGACGCTGGGATTTTCTCTGGGCCTCAGGAAGGTGTACATGAAAAACCTGCTGCGACTTTTTCAGGTGATGTCTGCCCCCCACTGCCCCCCCCCCACCTTGCCCCCCACTCCCGACACTACCGCTCCACCTATATACACACTATTACTACACACACACAGACGGACATCACGTAAACACTCACTCCGCACATACATTTACAAGATAGTGACACCGCACGCGTGCGTGTTTTGCACTTCTTTCGCGCCGTACGAAGCCAACCGCGCTAATCGGAGGTAACGGGGAAAGGGCAACAAACGAAACGCAAGAAGCAGTTCGAGAGAAATGAGTTTTCAATTTAGATGTAAAAGTGCACACAGCTTCCTCGTATCGGAAGGCAGAGCGTTCCAGACGGCCGCAAAGGCGCATTCTGCAAGCGCCGCTGCGAGGATGAGCGGTGGGGAGCGTCACGTGCTGCTGGACGAGATCGACAAAGGTGTCGGTGGTTCGTGTGTGGCGAGCGAAGCTTCGTGTGGGTGGGTGATGAGTGCGGCTGGGCGATGTGTTCGCGAGGCATGGTGGGACCTTGCGGGTGCCCGTCACGACACGCTCCAAGGAACTTTGTACACCCTGCAGCTTGCTAATCTGTTTTTTAAACAAATTTTCCCATACACACACTACGTACTCACAACATGATTATATCACACGCACACACTGCATCGCGAATAAACACAATGCTGTACATACACATACACGTAAGACACACAAAGACACAAAGACGCGCCACACCAACACGGAAACTTTATGCACTCTACACAAACTACACACCACATCCACACACACACACCACACACACCACACACGTACAATGACACACTTGCCATGCAGGTGTAATCTCAGATGTAATCTCTTACAGGTGTTATCTCAGATGTAATCGCTTGAAGGTCGAATCAATTCCAGGTATATTCTCTTGCATGTGTAATCTCAGGTGTCATCCCATGCAGGTGTCATCTCAGGTGCAATATCTTGCTAATATAATAGCAGGTGTAATCTCTTGTGTCATCCCATGCAGGTGTCATCTCAGGTGTAATATTTTAGAGGTATTTTAGATGTAATCCCTTGTAGGTGTACTCTCTTGCAGGTGTAACCTCAGGTGTATTCCTTGGAGCTGTATTTGTGGTATGCTCTCTGTCAGCACTGTGTGACGCGTGCTGCGTGTGTCGTGCAGTGGGCCACGTGTCGCATGGAGCGGGGCCGCCGCGAGCGACTCCAGTCGTTCTACAAGACGAGTCCCAGCGGTGCGTCACGTGACTGCTCCCCACCTTACCCCCAACCCCCCTTCTCTCACCCCCCCACGCCCCCTCTTCGCTTCTACCCCCAACTCCCCCAGTGGCCCCCACCGCCCCTCCGGGCATTGGAGGGGGGGAATTTTTGTGAAGGAGGCAAATTGTCTCTCTGATCGTTGACTTCGTTATTTATATTCTGCACAGCGACGTTGATGATCATGCCGCATCGTTCATTATATTTATACATTTACGTCAAGCCCGGGCCACGAATATTAATGAGAAAGGGTCCTTGCCCCTGAACATCTGGCAGTTCACCAGCATTCAGAGTATTTGGCCGCAGTAAATGTCCACGTGATATCAGCCAAAAGCTTTGTCTGGCCTTACCTGGTAAAATAAAAATATATAGTTGAGCTTTAGTATGGATCTCTGTGGGTTTGTGTGGTTCTTTGTGAGTATGAATCTCTGTGAGTTTGTGTGGGTCTCTGTGAGTATGGGTCTCTGTGAGTTTATAGAATCGCGTGTTGAGAGTAATTGACTGCCGCGATGAATTCCCACGGAATGATGAAAGCAGTCACTTCGTTGAGCGACCGTTTGTGATAGCCAGGTCGCTTTTGATAAAAAAAAAACGAGTAATACAGCTCAGTGGGGCCTTACCTATTACAATAAAATAACACTTTGAAAGTTGTTCCATCGGTTCAAGCAGAGGCTGAATCCCACAGCTGCAATCCCTCTCGGTCGCGCAGGGCTCATCAAGCGGGAGTCGTCCTCCAACCTCGAGGAGGAGGTGAGCCGCTTGCGGGACGACTACGACGAGGAGCCGGTGTGCCGGGGGGGGGCTCCCGCGGGGGACGAGGAGGGGGGGGCCGCGACCCACTCCCCCCCGCCGACCATGAACGCCCCCGCCACGGCGGCGGGCGAGTTCACGATGTCCGACGCGATGTGGTTCGCTCGCCGCGGCCTGGAGGCCATCGTGGAGGACGACGTGACGCAGCGCTTCTCGGCCGAGGAGCTGGAGTCGTGGAACCTGCTGACGCGCACCAACTGCGACTTCTCCCACGTGAGCGCCAAGCTCACGGCCGTGTGGGGGCTCGGCGTGCTGGTGCGCTACTTCATCCTCCTGCCTGTCAGGTGAGTGTGGGGGGGGGGGAGCAGGGGGGGGGGCTCGGCGTGCCGGTGCGCTACTACAGGAGAAGGGGGTGCAATGTGGGGGGGAGGGTGGGGGAGGAGGGGGTGGGTGTAGATTATATTATTATTATGATGATTGATTACCCGACAATTATCACAGTTGGCTATGTACGGTGCGAATGAAGTATCAACGTACATACAGGAAAGCCTCGCTGAGTCTCACGACTCTATCGTCAGGAGGGTCCTGCCAGGTTTCCACAGTAGTGGGGGGAGGGGCGGGGGGCGATGCTCGCTCTGTGTAATCCAGCGGAGTCATTTTTCACATTTGGCAAAATCCGGACGTGACGCTGGCGGACAATGGGTCTCCGCTGGCCAACACCGTCACGGGATCTTTCATGGGAGACGAGGAAGGGGCGGGGGGGACGATAATGGAGGCTCGGAGTGCATCCTCGTTACACATGTGGTGAGTGGCGGGTAGCGGGGAGAGGGGGGTGGAGGGATTGGGGAGTAGCGATTGGGGTAGGAGGGATTGGAGTAGGAGGGAGAGGGGGTGGAGGGATGGGGGAGCAGGGATTGGGGTAGCAGGGAGAGGAGGTGGAGGGATTGGGACACGGAGTGCTGGCGCGTTACTTGATCCCCATGCGCGTGAATTGAGGCCGCGGTGTGGGGAGGGGGCGTGAGGAGGGTAGGGGTCAGGGTACGTGGGGTGCAGAGGTAGCAATTGTGGGAGGGGACTGGAAAGGCGATAGGGCAATAGGGATTGGAGGGGGAGCAGGGTGGCGACACGCGGTGCTGGAGGAATAGGTCATCCCATAGGTGAACGCAGAGGGGGGTGGGGAGAGGAGCAGGGGGGGGGGCAGGTGTGGATAGAGATAAGTAGAAAGGATACATGAATGAGTGGGGGGGGGATCTGAGATGGAGGGAGTAGAGAGGAGGGGGGGGCTGCAGGGACAGGTATAGCCACCCCCCGCGCCTCCCACAAACCACCATGATCCCCCATGGCCCCCATCCCGAACCACGTGGAGAAAGAACGTGGGTCCCCGTGACACAAGTAATGCCAGGTGTGACGCATGTGTGTGCGTGCGCGTGTGTCTGCATGTTTTGGGGGGGGGGGAGCGGTGGAGCAGCGGTTAGCGCGCTGTCCTACGGACCTGGCGACTCGAGTGACGAATATCTGATGAACCGGTCCTGGGCCCTTCCCACTCAGTATCACACGCGTAAACATCAGCTTGGGGGAAACAAAGGCGGTACGCCAACCGCCACTCCCTCGTGCGCTGTGCCAGCCTCAATAGGTGCCCTCGAAGCCGACGTTCTGTTAATGGCGTTGTGTGTTCGTGCGGTGTGTGCACCCAACCTGGCACAAGGGCCGTGGTGACGTCAACCCCCACTTAAGTGGCGAATGGCGGTTGCTGTTGTTGTTGGTGTGTGTGTGTGGTGTTTATATTCAGCGCACACAAACACCACACACACACCACACACACCACACGTCCACTCCACTCATGCGCGTGGTACGAGAGCCCCCCTCTGTTTCCACCCCCCCCCCCCCTTTCCACCCCTCCATCTAAATCCGTCACCAGATTTTTCCCCTCAATGCTGCCAGGGATTGCGACATCACCACGAGGACAGAGTTACTCCCCCTCCCTCTCCCAGCCCCCTCAACTCTCTCCTTTTGCCCCCAATCTCCCGTCTCTCTAACCCGTCTTCTCCCCTCTCTGCTCTCAATCTCCCCCCCCCCACCCACCCATCTCTCCAACCTCATGGTTGTCAACATGTTTGGTATGGCCCCCCACCACACCATCATCAGCCCCCCCCCCCCACTCCCCCCAGGTCACAGAGGCTACGCTGCAGAAGAGAGGCGATGTACCGCACCACGCGTCCAGGCCGTGTTGGTGACCACGTGACGCTGGGTGCTGTCATGCTGTTGTATTGCTGCGGGGCTTGTCGTCAGAATACACAGCATTCATCCTGGAGGAATCCGATGAGCTACAAAGCTCTTTTTCACAGGCGTTACAGCAACAAACAGTACAAAGACAAAGATCTCCCGTGTAGCCTTTATAGACTGTTTGGGGCAGGTGCTGAGGGAGCGTGGTCAACACCACGCCCGGCCGCCTTTGTCTTTACACATCGCACCAGGTCCTCATTTGATACTGATTCGACCGAGGGGAGGCCCATGACCGGATCAGCTCATCGTCACTGGTTTTGGCCGTGAGCAGGAATCGAACTCGGGTCGCCGGGTTCGATACCGCTACACTACCGCTCCCACACACGCACACACACAGGCACACGTACACAGGCACACACAGGCACACGTACACACACACAGACCGCAGCAGCGTCACCTGCAGCGGAGGGACGGCGCGCAAACTCGGAACGGTCACATTCGGGGGCGCGAGGGCGCTGAGGGCAGTGACGTCCATGTGAATGATCATGATGATGTCGATGTTGCTGGGGAAGATGTTGATGGTATTGATGGTGTGTGTTGCAGGGTGAGCCTGGCTTCACTGGGTATCGGGTGGCTTGTCGTGGGAGCCTCAGCTGTTGGTTTCCTTCCTCAGAACAGGTACACCCCACCACCATCACCACCAACATCACCACCACCACCATCACCACCATCACCACCACCATCACCCCTACCATCACCACCATCACCACCACCAACATCACCACCATCACCACCACCATCACCACCACCATCACCCCCACCATCACCACCACCATCACCACCAACATCACCACCACCATCACCACCACCATCACCACCACCATCACCCCTACCATCACCACCACCATCACCACCACCATCACCACCGCCATCACCTCCACCACCATCACCCCTACCATCACCACCACCATCACCACCACCATCATCACCCCTACCATCACCCCCACCATCACCCCCACCATCACCACCACCATCACCACCACCATCACCATCACCACCACCATCACCACCACCACCACCATCACCACTACCACCACCATCACCACCACCACCATCACCACCACCATCACCCCCACCATCACCACCACCATCACCACCACCACCACCATCACCACCACCATCACCACCACCACCACCACCACCATCATCACCACCACCATCACCCCCACCATCACCCTCACCATCACCACCACCATCACCATCACCACCACCATCATCACCCCTTCCATCACCCCCACCATCACCACCACCATCACCACCACCATCACCCCCACCATCACCACCACCATCACCACCACCATCATCACCCCTTCCATCACCCCCACCATCACCACCACCATCACCACCACCATCATCACCCCTTCCATCACCCCCACCATCACCACCACCATCACCACCATCATCATCCCTACCATCACCACCACCATCACCACCACCATCATCACCCCTTCCATCACCCCCACCATCACCACCACCATCACCACCACCATCACCACCATCATCATCCCTACCATCACCCCCACCATCACCCCCACCATCACCACCACTATCACCACCACCATTACCCCCACCATCACTACCACCATCACCATCACCACCACCATCACCACCACCACCACCACCACCATCACCACCACCACCATCACCACCATCATCACCCCCACCATCACCACCACCATCACCACCACCATCATCACCACCACCATCACCACCACCATCACCACCATCATCACCCCTACCATCACCACCACCACCATCACCACCATCATCACCCCTACCATCACCCCCACCATCACCTCCACCATCACCACCACCATCACCACCACCATCACCACCATCACCACCACCATCACCCCCACCATCACCACTACCATCACCCCCACCATCACCCCCACTATCACCACGACCATCACCCCCACCATCCATCACCCCTACCATCACCCCCACTATCTCCATCATCACCCCCACCACCATTTTCAGTACCATCACCACCATCACCATGAAAACCATCACCACCATCTTCAGTACCATCACCATCATAAGCACCATCACCACCATCATCATCACCACTATCACTATCATCACAACCATCACACCACCCCCTCGTGTGCCGTGCCGGCCTTTATAGGTGATCCCACAATCTGTCAAGGCTACCCGGGGGATCTTTGTCTGTGTCTGTGTGCGTGCAGGGTGAAGGAGTGGCTGAGTGAGAGTATCCACCTCACTGCCTACCGCATCTGCCTGCGTGGCCTGAGCGGCGTGGTGCACTACCACAACACGTGAGGGCCACTCCTCACCCATCACCAGCACTCACCACTACAAAGACAACGATCCCCCGTATAGCCTGAACAGATTGTTGGGGCAAGTGTCGTTAGCGAGCACCTATGAAGGCCGGCACGGCACACGAGGGGGTGGGTGACCAGCACCACCACCGGCCGCCTTTTTCCCTCCAGTGGCGATGTCTACACACCGCACCAGGCACTCGTTTGAGGCTGAGTCGACCTAGGGGACGTCCAGGACCGTTTCACATAACCGTCACCAGGTGTGTTTGCCGTGAGCGGGAATCGAACTCGGGATGTCGGATTCTTAGCGCAGCGCGCTTACCGCTACACTACCGCTCCCCACAACTCACCAGCACTCACCAGCACTCACCAACACTCACCAACTCACTTCACCTTTACAGTCACTTGAATGCTCAAGATCACACTCACCTGCGCACTTGTCTGCTCACCTGTACCCGCACCCCCCTCCTCCCCCGCCCCTCAGGGAGAATCGACCCCGGAAGGGGGGCATCTGCGTGGCGAATCATACTTCCCCAATCGACGTCGTGGTGCTCGCTGCTGACGGGTGCTACGCCATGGTGACTACCACCCTGATCCCTCCCTGCTTCCTCCCTGCTCCCTGCCAGCTCCCTCGCTGATCCCACCCTGATCCAACCCAGCTCCCTCTCTACTGATCCCTCCCAGCTCCCTCCATGATCCCACCGTGATCCACCCTGATCCCTCCCTGCTCCCTCTCTGCTCCCTCCCTGATCCCACCTCTACTCATGGACCTGCTCCCCCCGCCCCGTGCAGGTTGGCCAGGTGCACGGGGGCCTGCTGGGGGTGATGCAGAGAGCCATGCAGCGCGCCTGCTTCCACGTCTGGTTCGAGAGGATCCGAGATGAAGGACCGCCACATCGTCACCCAGAGGTGAGCGCAGACCCCATCGCCATGGCAACACGCACCTCGTCACTATGGTAATGCGCACTCACGGCTGCCCCACCACATTGCCTCCTTTACTGCACCCCCCTCGCCTTACTGACACCCCCACCCTCACTGCCCCCCATCCTACCCTCACCGCCCCCCCTCCCTCACTGACCCCCCCCCCCGCTTCACTGCCCACCCGACTCTGTCCACCCTCCCACCCCCAGGCTCATGGAACACGTGGCAGCCAAAGTGAAACTTCCGATTCTCATCTTCCCTGAGGGTGAGGTGCACCCCCACCCCTGACCCCCACCCCCCCTCACCCCCACCCCTCACCCCCACCCCCTCTCACCCCACCCCACCCCTCTCACCCCCCCTCACCCCGTCCCTCACAAACCCCTCACCTGACCCCCCCCTTCACCACCCCGCACTTCCCCCTAAGCCCATCCCTTACACAACCATCACCTCTTTACATATACGGTGTGTGTACTGTGTGTGTACCGTGTGTGTACTGTGTGTGCCGTGTGTGTATACTGTGTGTACTCTGTATGCTGCTGCAGGAACCTGCATTAACAACACGTCAGTGATGATGTTCAAGAAGGGCAGCTTTGAGATCGGGGGGATCATATACCCCGTCGCGATCAAGGTGGGGCTCACATGTCTCCTCACTTCAGTCAGGAGCATCCCCCGGAACCCAACCCTACCCCTAACCGCTTTACGTAGCGCTCAGACTACTGGTAACCGCAGCCCCTCGCACTCGGCCACAGACCCTAACCCTCACCCTCGCACTCGGCCACAGACCCTAACCCTCACCCTCGCACTCGGCCACAGACCCTAACCCTCACCCTCGCACTCGGCCACAGACCCTAACCCTCACCCTCGCACTCGGCCACAGACCCTAACCCTCACCCTCGCACTCGGCCACAGACCCTAACCCTCACCCTCGCACTCGGCCACAGACCCTAACCCTCACCCTCGCACTCGGCCACAGACCCTAACCCTCACCCTCGCACTCGGCCACAGACCCTAACCCTCACCCTCGCACTCGGCCACAGACCCTAACCCTCACCCTCGCACTCGGCCACAGACCCTAACCCTCACCCTCGCACGAGTCCACCGACCCTAACCCTCGCACGAGTCCATAGACCCTAACCCATAGCCTCCAATTTATAGACCCATAGACACTTTGCCCTAACTCCTAGACCCGAACATCAAACCGCTATCCCCTAGTCCCTAAACACTAACTTCTTACCATTATCCTCTATCCCATATAACATAACCCAAAACCCTCATCTCAAACCCTGAACCATTAACCTTGAGCAGACGCCCTATTCTGAACCGAACGCCTAGGCCCAAACTACTAAACTCTATCCCCTAATCCCAAGCCCTAACCATTAACCCCTTGCCCCTAGACCATAAACCCTCATCTTTAACCTTTGATCCTCAACCCTAACTTTGACTCCTAACTCCCAATACCCTAACATCTAACCTCTATCCCTAATCCTCCACTATAAACCTGACCCCTGAACTCGACTCTGGACACTATCCCCGAACCTCCTCCACCTCCAGGTATAAAACCCAACCCTTTAACCTCTAAGCCCCGAGCCCTTAACCCTGAACCCTTTAAACACCACGTCTACCCACAGACCCCAGACCAAAGCTAACCTCAGTTTCCCCCTCTGTACTCCCCCCTCCCTCCCTCCCTCCCTCCCTCTCTCCCCCCACCCCGGTCCCCCCAGTATGACCCCCAGTTTGGGGACGCGTTCTGGAACAGCAGCAAGTACGGGATGGTGAGCTATCTGCTGCGAATGATGACGAGCTGGGCCATCGTGTGCAACGTGTGGTACCTGCCGCCCATGACGCGCCAGGTGAGTCGCCCCCGCGGGGGGCCGAAAGGGGTGGACGCCTCCAGCTGACTGTGCGTTGTCAGCGGTGGACGCACACGCCGGTGGTGGACACGTACACAGTCGTAAGCGAACAAAAAAAGAGTGCACACCAGGTTGTGTGTGCGTGGGGCTGTGTGTGTGTGTGGTTGCCTTTATAGGTGTGCTAACAGCGCTTGCCCCAACACTCTTTAAAGGCCATACGGGGGATCGTTTTTCTCTGTGCGGTTGTGCAGGAGGGAGAGGAGGCGGTCGTGTTTGCGAATCGCGTGAAGGCGGAGATCGCGCGGCAGGGAGGCCTCGTCGACCTCATCTGGTGAGGGCAGCCCGAGCCCAGGGTTCACCATCATGGCTCACCTGTTCATCTGACGTATCGCCCGACCTGTCGTCTGACCCGTCACCTGACTCGTAGTCCGATCTATCACCTCACCTCTAATCTGACCTATAATGTGACCTCTGGCCTGACTTAGCATTTTACCTCTAGTCTGAACTATAACGTGACCAAGTGACCTCATGGCTATCGATAATGCGAAAAGCCCAAGTATAACAACCATCGTGGCAGGAGGCCCAGTGCGGTAAGCATGACACCCCGGCAGCATTGTCATTGTTGTCGTTGTTGTTGTTGTGTCTGGCGCACAGGGACGGACAGCTGAAACGTGGACGCGTGAAAGACAGCTACCGGGAGCGGCAGCAGGAGAGATACAGCCTCCTCATCACGGGCGGGGGGGCCAACCAGAACAATCCGAGTCTTCTCACTAACGGCCCCGCGCCCTGGGACCCCTCGTCTTTCCCCCTGGGTGACCTCACGGGAAAGTCTACCCCCGAAGACCCCGCCCTCAGCCCCTGACCCTGACCGGCATCTGGCAGTCCCAGTCAGTCCCCCGGAGGGTCACGAGGTAGATTTGCGGGGTCAGCGGATGAGCCCTCGGGTGGCGTGGCCCCTCTATGGGAGGCTGGGTGTGCTCCTGCGATCCCTCTGTGGGCCCTGTAGGAGCCTAGAGGGCCCACGGAGGGTCGATGGGCCTCTCTGGGGGTTCCGAGAGGGCCCTAAGAGGAGTTTCCAAGTCTTTAGGACCTCGGTAGGCCCAAGGGGCCCCCAGGTGGACAGTGCCTCCAGTTCCCCCTCCCCCCGCGCCCCCACCACACTCATAGTTAAACTTTAAACAAATGTTAAACGTGGAACGGAACGGGTGACTACTCAACCTGCTTCTATCTTTCGCACTTTCGGCTCTGAGAGATGACTTTCGGATTTGACGCATTGCACAATTTTTAACGACAATTTCAGATTTTTCTCGCTTCGTGATGGAGCTCGTCGTGTGACGTGCGTGCTCGTTGGTGCTACCGCCACCGGCGCCGTGGTTTCTAGATCAGTCTGATAAAAGATTCCTTCTTTCGCGGCCGTCCGGAATTTCCCCAAAGTCTGCTGGGATTTTACCGGATTATATTTTGGCATTCAGCTTAAAAATCGTGGACTCATCCATAGCCCATCCCCCGTTTGCGCATCGCCGATTAATTCCACTCACGTCCAGCATCCCCCTGCAGCCCCCCGATGCTACACGACTGCTGCCCCCCTTTCACCCACCCCCTCCCACCTTCCCCCGTGAAGACCTTGGGTCACCACAGTATAAATGGGACGTTCCATTATGAGTAGTCGTTTGGGGGGGGGGTATATTGTTCGGTTTATCCTAGCACTTTTTCTGACCCTGTTCAACTCCGCCATATTAAAACCATGGATGAGATCGTGGGGGGGGGGGGGGGGGCTCAGGCCTCGTGATGACCCCGCGACCTCATCCTAACCTGGCTGATGAATGAATGAAACGCTCGCCGAGATTCTGCTCAATGTGCCAAGAGAGGTGATGCCAATAAAACAAAAGGTAACACAACACACAAATGGTGCCGAGAGTATCCGCCGCACCTCACGCCGTCACGTGTGTGTGTGTGTGCCTCGTGCCGGGTGGCCTGCGAGTCTGGAGGTCACAGTGCCAAGCTGACGCCCGCGGAGGTTCTGGTGGTTGCTGAACCAGGACTCCGGTCGTGAGAGACGGAAACCGGGCAGTGCCGTAGCAAGGGTGCGGTGGGTGCCACCCCAACGTGGAGCCGAATTGTTGGGAACGAAGCAAGCAGTGGTGGCAGCTCGAAGTTTAAACTATAAAATAAACTATTAACTTATTTTTATTTTGCCAGGTAAGGCCCCACTGAGCATTGTAGTTTTTATTTTAGAAGCGACTTGGCCACACATGTTAGCTCAACGAAGTGGCGTATCACGTGGAATATAGCAGACAAATACTCTCAACACGTGTTTCTAAATGTAGAGAGAAAAATCGGGAGGACCCTGAAAAAAATCCACGCGACCACAGGGAGAGAGACACGCAAACCCCAAATATACAGCAGCAAACGTCAGGGTTGGGATAAAACCCACGACCTTCTGTATACCAGGCGAGGCGGTTAACATCTCACGCTACCAATCCGGCGGTGCGAGCTTGGGCTCTGAAACTGGGTGGTCAAGTGCTGCAGCGAGTTGATGGTTACATTTTGGCTCTTCTTTTGGGTGTGCCAACAATTCCAGAGAGTCACAAATATCGATCGGATCGTCGTCACTTGAGGAACATTTCTCTGCATAGCATGGGGGAGTGGGACAGTGTGTAAATGAGGCCGCTTGTATGTAGTTCTGCGGTATCTACTTTCGTGCGATGTTCTCGAACAGCAAGGATCGCACTGCACTCTGAGAGATTCCAAGCGATTGCCCGGTTCACCGTAAGGCGTTGACGGTCTCGACACGTCCCGTATGTGGTAGCAGCAGTGGGCAGTGCACACAAATACAGTGTTGTACTTCACTTCTATGCCCCCGCTTCCACAAACTCGCACTGACCAGCGAAATGCGTGGTCAAATAATCGACGCGACCTCCACTCATCATTCATTCATGGGTCCAGAAATTATTTTCATAATTCTCGCAGAAATGTGAACCAAAGACGATTTTCCCACGGAATATTCGTCGGGGAGAGGGCCCTACGATTCACCAATCCAACTTTCCAGAGCTCAGCCCCACACAGCTCCAGATGAATATAAGCCTGCCGATAACACGTTCATTTATACACGTGCCCGTTTCGCCGGCAGACTAATTTTCACGAGAGGTCCCACCAAGTTTTGGCGGTAGGGGGCGATGATTGCTGCTGTGTGGATTCCAATCGAGGAAGCAAACAGCGCAAACGGTGCAACAGATCACAGTACTGTACTCAAAAGCCTCGTTGAGTGCCAACAACCGGGCTTTTGTGCCAGGCTAGGTGCACTTTGAGGCCACGTGGAGTGAGATCTGTGGGTAGCAAACCGTGTGGATTGGGCGATGACGTCATTACACACAGCCCCGCTCACCCCCAGGCCGCGCTTTTCGTGACGTCATTCTATTCCCCCGGATCCGTGACGTCACCGCAACTCAGGCCACGCCTTTCGGACCACCGCCCCGCGTCCACATGACGTCACGCCTCTGGCGCCCCCCCCCGCATTTCCATGACGTCACCGGCGTTGACTTCACGACGCACGTTCGCCAACCCGCGTCGCCGCTCCTCGGTGACGTCTCCCGTCGTGCGTGACCCCCCCCCCCCCCACGTGCGGCCCAACGCGATGACGTCAGAAGCGGGTGACGTCATCGCGCTCGGCGCAAGACCCGAAGGAGGAGGAGGCGGCACGGGGTCGCTGCCGCGATGCGCGGGACCCCGGGCGACGTGGGGCCGCTGTGACCCCCCCCTCCTCCATACTCTAGCGCAGACGACGACGAGGACGACGACGAGGTGGAGGACGAGGAAGACGACGACGAGGACGACGCGGGGCGATCGAGCGAGGACGAGCGGCCAGGTGGAATGGCGGCGGCCGAGCGATCCGGGAGGCCGCGGTCCGGCGGACCCCGACTGCTCCTCGTCACGGCCAACGTCGGCTCCATGTTCGAGGATGTGAGGCTTCTCTCGCACGGGTCACTCGGTCGATAGGCCACGGGGGTCAGTAGGTCACGGGGGTCGGGGATGCGTGAGGCAAATAAATGGGTCGAGTGTCGGGTCGGTGGCGCCCGCGGCCCCGCGTCAACACGGCGGGGGGGGCGGCGCGTAGCCACGACCTGACGCAGCAGCAGCAGCAGCTGGCACCGTGGCTGACACAGCAACCTGGCAACTGGCATAGTAGCTGGCACCGTGGCTGACATAGCAAGCTGACACTTGGCATAGTAGCTGCACCGTAGCTGACACAGCAAGCTGACACTTGGCATAGTAGCTGCACCGTAGCTGACACAGCAAGCTGTCACTTGGCATAGTAGCTGCACCGTAGCTGACACAGCAAGCTGTCACTTGGCATAGTAGCTGACACAGCTGACACAGCAACCTGGCAACTGGCATTTTAGCTGACGGCAGACGCGACACCAGACACAGGACCTGACACATTGCTTGACAACAGCTGACATCTGGCAGAGTAGCTGACACCTCATCTAACGTAGTGACACCGTATAGGCAAACACGGTATACCTGACCGCGTGCCTGACACCGATACCTGACATACAGTATTTGCCCCGCGTATCTATAAATCTACGGCGCATATTTGACATCGCACCTGGCTGACCCCACATACCTGGCACGGTACGTGACACGGTGCCTGCACCCATGAGGGAAGAGGACGGTAGGTATCCCACTCGCCCTGATCCCCATCTCACCTGCCTCGCCTGCCTCGCCTGCCCCGCCTCACGTGCACTGTAACGCCACGGGGGCTCTGTGTACAGGTGGTGTCCGTGTTATTGTCTTTGCTATTTGAGCGGTGGTAGTTGGTGGTAGTTCTTATATGTCAGTGGGGGTTGTTGTGGTTCCTGAACCGTGCGTTGCGCCTTTGCATGGAGTCACGAACCCCATTGTTTTGGAACCCCGAGGCCTATATGTCTCTATGCTCACGACGTCACAAGTACCCTGCATAGGTACACGTGGGTACGTGCAGGTGCGTGGCTGATTGTGGCTGGCTTGCTCGGGTGGTGACGATTAGAAAACGCTCGACATATGGGTGCTTGGTTACTCACGGGTACGTTCGCAAGAGGTACACACCGAGGTACTTGGGAAACGAACAGGTACATAGGCAGGTACATTGGTACTTGCACTTACATTAAAAGTAAATGAGAACTGCACGGATACACACGGATGCTCTGGAATCACATCGGCACATACCGAGGTGCACAGATATTTATAGATACATATGCACACAGGTACACACAGGTATTATACATACGTAGGTACACAGGTGCATGGACTCATACGGGTATGCACGAGTATATTAAAAATTAAACGCACGGGTGTAAAGGTACATGGGTGTACGCAGGTTCTCACACACCGGTACTCACGGATAGACACCGGTATCGATACACACAGGCAGACACGGGAACTCACAGGCAGACACCCACGCAGGTACAGGGCCCACAACAATAACAACAAAAAACGCCTAAGATGTCGTTTCCTTCATGTTGTACGTTGCGGTTGGCCGTGTGGAAAATGGAAAATATTTTCCCTCGGGCTGGGTAAATGTTACACGTGTACGCGTGCGTACGTGCGTGTGCCTGTGTGTGTAGGGAGTGGTTGTGGGTAGTGGGCGACGCACTGCTGCGCTGCGAACGTGACGACCCGAGTTCGATTCCCGCTCACGGCCAACACCAGTGACTATTATCCGAACCCCTCCTGGGCCACCTCTTGTTCGACTCAGCCTCAAATGAGTACCTGGAGCGATGTGTGAACATCGCCACTCGGGAGACAAAGGCGGCCGTGCGTGGTGCTGGCCACCCACTGCCTCGTGTGCCATGCCAGCCTTCATAGGTGCTCGCTAACAGCACTTGTGTCTACAGTCTGTGAAGGCTGTACGAGTGATCTTTGTGTGTAAACATCACCGCCGGATAAACAAAGGTGGCCGAGAATGGTGCTGGTCACCCACCCCCTTTTGTGCCATTCCGGCCTTAATAGGTGCTCGCTAACATGAATATCCCCGACAGTCTTGTTTCAGTTCATATGGGGATGTTTGTTTTTGTGTACGTGTGTGTATGTAAACGCGTGTGTACTTGCTTGTGTGCTTGTGTGCACGTCTTCATGTGTATGTACCCGTGCAGTCTTAGGTCCATGTATTCGTGCAACGTGTACACGTGCGTCTGTCTGTACAGCACCTGCGGGTGTGCCGCTCTGTTTGTGTGACATTAACAAAAGGGCTGAAGGAATGGAAAACTGGAATGGCACGGGTGGGTTTATTTGTAAAGTTCAGCCACTTCCGTGTGCTCGCACACACAAGAGGCACAGTGCAGCGTCTCGGCCAAAAAGCAGCCACACTTCAGTGCAACGATCGACATCAGTGGCCCAGAGTCGGTGGCCCACGTGGGGCCATCAGTGTCACGGGCGGCACCCAGTCGAGAAAGTCTTCATCGTCCTTGCCGTGGGCTCACGACAATGAAACGGAGCTCGGTGTTGTTAGAGGGGGGAATACCATTGGACCAATTGCCGCGCCCGACATCAGTTATTGTTGTAGGACTGTGTGAGCACTGCTCTCTCAAGTTAATTACTCTTGAGCTTTGAGCACAGATTTTTAAGAGGGGTGGGAGGTTGGGATCAGCTCGCTCGCCGGTGCCTGAACGAGGCATCGCAGGCTTGCGAGAGGTGGGGACCGGCGGCTTTGGAGAGGCCTTCATCCAGCAGTGGATTGATCATGGCTTACAACAATAAAATGGAGCTCGGTGTTCGAGAAACAAAATCGGTGACCAACATCACTTACCGGTGTCTCTGACCCACATCTGCGGCTGCTGCACGGTGTGATGGCATGGCAGTGATTGCCTGTCTCTGCTTATATGGCTGCCTTGCTGCTTGCCTCACTGTGCCTGGGTAGTAGCCAAGGTCCATTGGGAGGTCCCTCCTGCTCGTGCAGATATGAGACTCACTGACCAATGTCCAATGTCATCGACCAGAATTAGTGGCCTGCTGCTATCTAAAATGATATGGCCACGAGTTTGACTTTTGAGTCGGCGGTCTAAAACAAGGCGGGGTGCGTGATACACCCACGGTGTGCTGATGTGTCAACTGACATGCAAAGTGCGATGGCAGGACCGATCCAATGGCCTGTCCCCATGCCATGCCTGTCTCGGTGTCTCCCCGTGTGAAATCTCATTTCTCGAACTGCCTCTGTGTCCACTTGCCAGCGCTCTCAATTCTCCCTGCTTCTCGCACCTTCCCTAATTATCTCCGTGTCTCCCTGCCTGTCTCCTAGACTGCATTTGGTCTCCCTGGGTTGCCAAGGTCCCATCAGAGTTCCCATCTGCCCGTGCAGCTGCGGCTCTGGAGGGTGGGGCCCACCACTGGCTGCATGGTTCATTGTGCATTTTGTGGGTGGCCTGTAAGGTCATTTGGCAGGCTCCATGCATCATGATCAGCAGCCGTGATCGATCCACTGCTGAATGAAGGCCTCCCTAAGCCGTCGCTATTTTTCACGGTCCTGCACCGTAACGATCCGTCTGGCACCTGCGCACGAGCTGACGTCATTGCTCCCATCCCGGCGATCGATTTTCCTTTCACGAGCATTCCCTCCTTTGCGCTCCCACTCCATCGTTAGTCTCGACCACCGACCGTCGTCTCTCTTGTCGACGTGTCTAGCCCACGCCCGCTAACATTTCTCAACTAATCTAAATATGACATCTCTAATTTGCGTATGCCATCTAATCTGCAGTTTCCTCTTCCTGTATCTCAGTGCAATTCCAGGCACGCATCTCAGCATTCTACTTTGCGCACCTATTATATTTTGGTCGCATTTGTTTTGGCAGTGTCCAAATACCTGAAAAGCTTGTGTCACAGCAGCTGATCTCAAACTGACAAAAAAACAATTTTAATATTGAAATATCCCCTCGCACCGCCAGGACTCCTGGAGAGTCGTAATGTTGTTTCATGAGGCGGGGAAGTCGATCGACGCTGTTCGTCTTCACGTCGAGGCTGGTTCAGGGAGCGAGCGAGTCACGGCTTAAGGTGTAGCCTGGTGATGAATACCCAAATCGCTCCCGGGGGGAATGAACGAAGCGCGGGGTAGCGTTACCGTGTCGTCTGGGGATTTTGAGACCGGTGAGCGCAGTAGCGGGGTGGTGAGTGAGCGTGGTGAGTGGCTCACACGGGGTGGTGAGCGAGCGTGGTGAGTGGCTCACACGGGGTGGTGAGCGAGCGAGCGAGCTGGAGTAACTTGAGCGCAGAGCCTCTGGCGTCAGCAGCGCTTAACAGGAGAGGCCATTCACTTTCGCCGCAAACGTCACCGCCATGTCGCTGTTTCTACCCTGCTTAGGCCTTAATTGGTGTTGGGGGACCAAGAGGGGAGTCATTAGAGCACGGACGTCTTGCTAATTAGACGAGGCGTGCGCATTAAGTAGAGCTGGGATTCGGCGTGAACAATTAAGATCCAGGCAACGGCAGTCGATAGTGAGGAGTGAGAGAGCCGCGTGGTGCCACGGCCACGTGGTGCCACGGCCGCGTGGTGCCACGGCCGTGTGGTGCCACGGCTGTGTGGTACCACGGCTGTGTGGTGCAACATCCGCCCGGTGTGATGACTGTGTGGTGACTGTTGTGTTGTGTGACAGCCACGTGTTGTGATGCCTCCGAGTGAGGGCAGCGCAGTGTGAAAGCTGTGTGTTCTCACGACTCTTGGTGCGGCTGTTCTTCCTGTTGTGACGGCTGTGTTGTGTCGCAGTGGTGTGACATTATGGCAGCACGGTGTGACGGCTGTGTGTTCTCACGACTCTTGGTGCGGCTGTTCTCTGTTGTGACGGCTGTGTTGTGTCGCAGTGGTGTGACATTACGGCAGCACGGTGTGACAGCTGTGTTGTGTCATGGCGGCGGTGTGACGGGATGTTTCCCGTTGGGGTGTGACAGCTTTGCGGTGTGACAACTACCTGATATAACTGCTGCTGAGCGAGAACGGATGTGGCGTCACGCTATGGTAACGAGAGCTTGATGGTATGACGGCTGTGCGCTGCGGCGACTGTTGTGTGACGCCGACCGCTCCCGCGCCGCTTTCGCTGGCGATGACATTCGCGGTAAAATCGAAGCTGCGGCGCCATTCCTGTCGATCGATCTCGCTGGCGCCATTCGGCGAGGTGTTGTCATCGAACCGGTACAGCCCCGGTTAGTGCCACCGCTCGCAACGACACAAACGTCCCGGGGCAATCATTCCCTGCACTGTTGTTGCTGCCATGCTGGTCTCAGTCTAAGCATTGTTTTGGTGTGTTTTTTTTGCAGACCGAACATTTGCAGAAAAACTGGCTCCAGGAGTTTTACAAGGTGGGTGACATGGAAGTGTGTGTTGTGTGTTGTTGCGTGTTGGTGTCATTTGTGTTTTTGCTCGGTGCTTCCGCGTCGCTGCTGCTGTTGTTGACATTGGTGGCCAGCGTGCTTCTCGTCGTCCACCCCATCCTTCACCACAACTCGACTGCTGCAACTCTCTCCTCTACGGTCTCCCCTCCAATCCCTCACCTCCACACACTCCTCACCTCCGCACGTCGCTGGTCTCCTCGCATCTTCAAACTCTCCGCACCCGCGAACGGGCACATGTGACACTACGACTCCGACCCCAGCCCTGGCTCCCGATCCAATCCTGGATCAATTCCGACATCACACTCACTGTCTACATGATCCCCCATGGACTCCCCCTGGCTAGCCGATCTCCCCTTTCGTCTCACTTTACTCCCCTCTACCGCCCTCTCCTACCTCTCTCCTCTCAATTCACTCTCTCGCCTGTCATCTCACTCTGCTTCCCGCCACACACACTCCTACCTCTCCCCTCTCGTCTCACTTTCTGTGGAAGCCCCCATTCAACCTTCATTCGGTGGGAAGTCGCTCATTTTCCTCTGCTGCCCCCATGGTCTGTCACTCCCTTCTCCCAGCTGTCCGAGCTGTCGACTCCATGTCCCTCTACAAGTCTAGGCTCAAAGCCTTTGACCGTCTTATTATACAAAACACAAACATATATAACACACACATTAGGGGTGTAAATACGTACCAATTCACTCCCATGATGACTCAATTAATTCCTGCTCGTGATTCAAATGAAGAATCGATAGTTTATTTTACTATTATCAACTCAGACAATTGACCAACGGGTGTCAGACTATGCTCGGACGACCCCCCGCAACGACCCACATGGCACGCAGAGGCCACCGCGCCTCAACAGCCAGACAAGACACAAATGGCTGCGAGTTTACATTGAACGCACGCAATTGGCTCCCCCGTAAGCCAATTCTATGTCACCCGCGGTGCCAGAGTCTCTAAGCGGCAATTGGCATCGACGTAAAATCAATGCCCGAGAGCGGGATCAGATCACCGCACCCTTTCGAACAAAACTCCCCGCGGAAGCGCCCTGCGCCACGCTGCGTTTAGATCCCAGTCACCCACTATCGTGTCGCCTGCGGCTGGCTCCCCACCCCCTCCCACCCCCTGCGTTTGTGATCTTGGGTAAAACGCGGGCACGTGCCTCGTCGTGTCGCCCATTTCAATTTTGACGGATTCCACGCGGCGCACCGCCGCTGGCCCGTCGTGCGCTGTCCGTCACAGGTCGCCCGAGATCCCAGCCCCCGGGCTCGGGAGCTTGGCTACGATTGGTCAGCCGCTTCGAGCTCAAGGCTTCCCCGTTCCTTCGTCCCGCAGGCCTGGCCGAGCCCGTGTGATCACCCCCGTGATTTATAAAAGCAGCGTCTGCCCTGGCTGAGTGTTGTGATGTAATTTTCACCCCAGTAATAAGAATAACAGCAATGGCATTCGGGATGAGGGATTGCGCAGTGGTTCGTGCGCACTGCACTATGAACCTCATGACGAGTTTTGAGTTCCAGCCAAGGCAAACATCAGTATGTATGTATGTAGGATGGTGAACTTATTTCGCACCAGAGCCAACCGTGCTAACCGTGACGAGAGATGTCGGAACCGGTTGTGTGCGCCCCGCCCTTCGCCAGCCAGCGTGGAGAAGTATAGTCGGCCAATCCCCGTTACTGTCAGGGCACGTGGAGGCCTTCATCCAGCATTGCACAAATGGGTGTAAGTGGATTGACACTGTTCATTGTATTTATGCAGGAGAGTCTCACTGAGTCTCGAAGGATCCTTTTTTTAGACGGGCCCTGCTATATTGGGATGTTTGGCCAATTCCTTTTTAAATAAGGAGCGCTCTGCTTCTTCCTCGTGGCATTATTCCCAGTCGTGTGGGCTCAGCTGCCTTCCTGCTCCTCCTCCAAAACCGCCATGGGCCATTGCCCCCCACATCCACTCCACAGTCCTGCACGTCCTCGTCTCACCACAGTGGAACCACCTCTGTCTATGGGCCTCACTCTCGGCCTCCGCCCACGCCCTGGTGCTTCCGTCGGCACGGCCTGCAATGCGACGGCTGGGGGGTCACCAGAGCGTGACGCTAGATCAAACGGTCCAATGAATAATATTGGTCTGTTAAACTGTTGCTAGTTTCATCTTGCCATATGAGAGAAGAGCTGGTAAGAAACTGGATTACACGCCAGTGATAGGGTCGCAAAGATGGGTTCACGACGCCGATTTATTATCATGCCTTCTCTTAGCTACTTGGTAGCCCAGAGCATTGGTGAGTTTAGCAAATCTTCCTTGTGATCCGCCAACCCTGGCCTCCGCAGCGCTCGATCACAGGTGCACGCTCGAGCTGTACAAACGTAGGTCCCGAGTGCGTGCATGCGCGTGTGTGCATGGGTTGTGTTGTCACAGTGTAAGAATTATAATTTTTATATGTTGCATTTGTTTACCCCGGAAAGTGTCACTGAGTCTCACGAGGGTTCTGCCAAGTTATCCCCTCTCTTTGTGCACTTTTGAGTTCCACTCCCGACCACAGCCAGCCATCCAAACTGCTGCTGGGCCTCCCTTTAGACCAACTCGGCGTTAAATTAGGAGCTGATTCCATACGTGAATGTTAGCACAAGGGGGACAGAGGGCTCTGCTGGCATTCATTGGTGCATGCGAAACAGCACTTTCCGCAACATCCTATACAGGCTTCACGGGGGATCTTTGTCTTTCTGTATATGTGTGTTTGTGGCGGCATTATTGCATTGGTTAGCACGCTGCGCTATGAAACTGGTGACCCGAGTTCATGACAGTGACGATTATCTGAACGAGTCTAGGGGCTCTTTGAGGTCGACTTAGTCTCAGTTGAGTACTGCACCTGGTGCGATTGGTAAACATTGCCACTGGGGAGACAAAGACGGCCGGGCATGGGGATGGTCACCCGCCCCCTCATGTGCCATAAGCGATCGCTAACAGCTCTTGCCCCAACAGCTTGTTAAGGCTATATGGGGGATATGTATGTGTGTGTGTGCGCGCACGCATGTAAGCGCGTGTGCAAATGTACTCGTGTGTGAATGCTCGTCGGGGAGGGGCAGGACACGGAGCGCCGCTTCCTGGCGCCGTGCTCGTGGGAAGGATGCTCACGCGGGAAAACAATTGCGCTGCGCTATTTATAGACTCGTCTCTCGTTAGCGAGGCCCCCCGCCGTGCTTCGTCGCGCCTCCGTGCCCCGCTCATAGCCCTCCGCACCCCCCCCCCCCCCCCCCGTTAATGGAAGACGTTACTCAGAAGGAGAAAAAAAACGACGTTGAACGTCGCTTTTGTCTCGAAGCTGCGCACCTGGGACGCCCCACTGCATTTATGGCTTTGTAAAATGAGAGAAAACAGCAGTAAAGTTACGGCCGATCGCGTCATTATGGCACGTAAATATTAAGAAAGCTCAACTGTGGTGGCATCGCTCGAGTGCTACGGTGGAGAACTGAGATGCTGGGACACCGTAGAGACGCTGGGAGTCACTGGGAGACGTTGGGAGACACTCCGTTTCTCGCTCTGTCCCACGCACTGCCTCAACTCGGACCCACAGGAACCGCCTTCGCCCATGGCTGGGCTTGGGGGGGGGGGTGGAGTTTGGGGGGTGGAGGCGGTGGAGAGGGATGGAGGGGGAGGGAGGCTAGTGGGGGGCCCTCTCTCCGGAGTGAGCGCCGCCCTGCTGCGCCACGCGCCATGCGGGACGTTGCGGTGCTTCACCTTATTTATTGTAACGCGTCGGGTTTTGTAAACGGGCGCTCCGCGGTGTTTGTGTCGTCTCAATGGACGCTCATCCGCAGGTGCTGACCTCTCCCGCCCATTGTTTGAGGTTCGCGCCTTTGGGTCGGTCCGGGGGCCGCGGAGAGAAGAAGCCGCTCGCTTGCCCGGTCCCCGTGCGTACGAGCTTGCTCCTGAGCACGGCCCAGCTATTAATAGCATTAATTGCCTGCGCTCTGTAGGAATGCGCCCAGTGTGAACTAGTCTGGCCTCTGGCCCCTATAAGGAGAGTCCTGCCCACTCGCTCCCCTGCGGAAAGTCAAATATTTGTCCTGGAGCAGACCCTGCCATTGCCAGGGCTGGGGGCCCCATCTTATCAGCGATTGGCGTTCACGGTGAATGGCTTGAATTGTGGACCCGCCGTGCGTGCCTACGTGCATCAGGTGGCCTTTTAGAGTCTCGCGGTTTTGTCGTGTCCGCATCCCCTTACACAGGACACGTCTGTCTTGTGTCTCCCGCGGACACTTGCCCAACCCATCTGCACAACCACCCCGTTTCTTCTGGACGTCTTCCTCTTTTGCCTCCTTCTGACTCCGCAAACATTCGCCTGCGTCTCGCAGACACCACAGCCATCCACCCCGTGTCTTCTGGAGACACATCCACGCTTTGTCTTACTCAGACAGTCTCCCCCCCGAGCCATACATTTACCCCGTCCTCCCGAAGACACTAGACATCTCCATCCTGCGTGTACTGGACCCTTGTCCCCACGCTGTGTGCCCACCCCGTGTCTCCCCAGCCACCGCACACATTAACCCTGTTGCTTCTGCACACTTGTACACCCGGTGTGTCCATGCTGCATCTCCCCACACACCAGACACGCCCACCCTTTGTCCTGACACACGCCCCAACCCAGTGTGTCCACCATGTCTCTAGCCAGACACCTTACGCACGTCAACCGCCTATGTCCTCTGGACGTACCACGCACCATGTTGTTCCTCCACACCGTGCCTTCTGGACGCTTGCGTCCAGCCTGCGCCTCCCCTTAGGCCAGCAACGTCCGCCCCTCCTGTGTACACGCCGACCCAATACGTTGTGCGCGCTGTCTCCTGGACACGAGCCAAGGTGGCTTTACCGCTCACCTGTGATACGACAGCCCCGTGCCGCTCACGAGCAAACACAGCATCGCTCGGTGATAAAATGTGTTTTTCTGCTGAGAGATCCTGCCGGGAACTAAATCTCTCGCCCGCACCAATGTCCTCTTTTGGACATCGCCCGCAAGCCTCCTTTCACTTTCTCGTCGTGTCTCAATTACTCATCGGTGCCTTTCCAAAACATTCCCGCTGCAATCCAAACCTAAACCCCGCTAATTGCATCGCTGCATTAAATCAGTCGCTTTCTCTTATAGGTGTGTGTGCATGTGCACGCACGTGTATGCGTTTAACGAGCGCCGTTGAAAGATGATTACACAAAACGGCGCGTTGCCTTGTGAAGCTTATTCTGTGCGTGGTGCCAAGGGCCTCTTGCCACAGGGGGGCGAGAGGAATTAACCAACAACCCTGCTGCATCTGCATATGTTCCTCACACGTCCCTGCTGCATCTGCATATGTCTCTCACACGTCCCTGCTGTGTCTGCACACATCCCCCATAGCCCTGCTGCATCTTCATACGTCTCATGTCCCTGCTGCGTGTACACTCTGCTCACGATCTTGCCGCGTTCACAGACGGTGCACAGCCAGGGGCCCCAGCTGGTGGCCGTGCACTGCCAGGAGGTCGGGGGGAAGAACTACGAGGAGTCGATGGCGAACGTCGAGATGTTCGTCAAGTGAGTGAGCACGTTGCTCGCAAGGCCGTGACGCGTGGTTGTGCACTGCTACGACCCACACGGTCCACACGGCCCACACGGCCCACACGGCCCACACGGTCCACTTGGTCCACACTACCTCTAACCACGCAGTCCACACGACCCACACGGTCCATGTGGGTCAGCAAACATCAGGACTAGGGGAGACAAAGTTGGGGGGGCGGCTGGCCGGGCAGTTGTTGCTGGCCACACCGCCCTCTCATGTGCCATATTGTGCCGGCCTTTGTAGGTTTTCAATAACTGCACTTGCCCCAACAGTCTGTTTGGTTACACAAGGGGAGCTGGGGTGCCTTTGTCTTTGTGTGTCCCAGGGAGCTGCTGTCCAGCGAGGAGATGCGGGAGTTCAACCGCGCGCGGGTCTACCTCGATGAGAACTACAAGTCCAAGGAACACTTCACGGTGAGCCAGACCCTCCGAGCCGTGAGCCAGACCCACTTGAGCCGTGAACCACATCTGCGTAGCCATGAGCCATACCTTCCTACCGAGCCGTGAGCCATAGCGAGCCTGTGAACCACACCTACTGAGCCTTGAACCACACCTATTGAGCAATGAGCCGCACCCACCAGCGACACCCACCAGCTCCCGCAGTTATTCCCGAGGTGACAGGTGGTGGTGGTGGTTGTGGGTTTTGTACGTGCACCCTTACCTGCTCCCACACGAAGCTAGACAATTTACATAAGCGAACGACAATACTTCTTACAGCTGATGGCAAATAAAAATCCTTGACCTAAGAATTCATATGAATGAAAAAAAAGTACTAACGTCTACCAATAGATGGCGCTAGTACGTTACATCTAAAGGATATTAAAGGGTGTTAATGCTTTCCCGGTGACTGTTGGCCATGGCTCTCTGGTTCTGGATCGTGGAGCCCATTGAGATCCACCAGGATGATGGACCACAGCGCCTGCTGGATAAGGCGCCACTGATCTGCACGGTCGCAACATAATATGGGCAATGTCTGTCGCCGTGCACGCTTAGCGCATACCTAGTCAAACGCTTCATGAAAGGCGCTATATAGGCTATGGATATTATCATTATAGCCGCCCACCCCAGCGCAATTGGAAACATTTGTTTCGGCGATTTGTTTTAAGAATGTGATGTTTAATCTTGGTGGCGGTGGCCATGCTGCCGCCGCCACACGTGCTTTCTGCCCGTGATCCGGCACTGTGGAGGCAGCAGCGAGGGTTGGTGGATCACCGCACGGATGTTGTGAAACTGCCAGTGGGCGTCGAGGGGGAGCCGTAACCCTGGCTCACCAGGAGAAGGCAGTACAACAAAGTGTAGACTAATCTCCATCTGTTCCATCTCTATGGGATAGTGTTGCTGCCCCCCCCCCCCCTCTCGCATGTGTGATGCTCAGGTTTCCTGCCACACGTTAATTGGCTGAAAACATCTTCGCTATGTAGAGGACCGCAGAGCTTGGGCAGCGATTGGCGCCGGCTCGCCGCTGCCTTCCTGCTCGTCTGTGGTTCCTGAGCGATTGCGAGATATGCAATATTTGTCTTCTCGTTTTGTGTTGTCTCGGTAGCTCGATTAGCCTGAACGTAGCTTGGAGCACACCGGTAACGTCCAGCGCATAGCTTCCGTGAACCCCACGTGAGTCGGGAACATTCCAAGGTGGAATCACGAACTGTTGTTAGACACCCGCGACGCGATTTGATGCGTGGTCGTGGCGGCGTAAGAATCGGTGTTAGCTTCGGTGAATCGCTGCACGCAACGACCCACACGGTCGCCCTCAACGCGCGGTTCACCTCGCGGCCGCTAGGGAGCAGACTTTCCTAGCTTCACAAACTCTCCATCCTGTTAGCAGCAGTAACGGCAACAGCTGTATCATCAACAGCTTCTGCATCATCAGCAGCAGTAGCAGCGACAGCAGCAACTTTGAGATCATCGTTCTTATCATCAACACCAATATTGTCATCATCAGCGGCATCAATATCCGCAGCGTCATCATTGCCACCATCATCCCATTTATCCTCTCCATCGTAATCAGCAACGATAGCAGCATGTTTCCTTGATTGTCATTGTCACCATCAGCTGCAGGAGCCCATTCAGCTCCATCATTAGCAGATCATCAATCAGCATATAGGCGCAGCATGTTGAGCATTATATTTTTCATCATCATAATTTGTATCATAATCTTCCAACAGAAACAGCATGTTTAGCAGCAGTATCATCATCATTCTCTTCAACGTCATCAGCGGTAGCATGGGATGAGAGGCACGGTGTAGGAGGATTAGACGGGACAGTTTAGTTAGGGTTAGGGCCAGAGCTTAGGGCGAGTGCAAGATCCGAGTTGATGAGTGAGGGTGACGGGGGTGTGGTGGCGGTGGTGGTGATGGCGGTGGTGGTGGCGGCAGGGAGAGAACACCTGTGTGCCGGGGCGGCAGAGCCAGGGAGATTTCCCCGAGAGATTCCCTCTCCCCCCACCGCCCCCCCCCCCCCCCAGATGGTTTTCCCCGATAGCGGCGCTCCGTGTCCACGGGGCAGGAAATGAGCGCCGTTGTTTCGCGATGGGTGGCTGACAGTGGTGATGGCCGCACGCGCGCCCTCAATCACCCGCCGGCCCTTTATTCTGCAGCTGCCCGTGACGCCGCGCTGCTTTAATAAAGTTAATGTTATTTTTGCAATATGTGGGGCACGTAAATTACCTGCGACAGCTTGGCACGCGAGAGGGAGGCGAGCAGTGGAAATTCTATAAAGCGGGGGCCGGGCAGCGGCCGTGCTAGGTTGGCACGGCGTGTGTGCTGTGCCCGTGTTTGTGTGTGAGGGATGGTGCGTGTTTGTGTGCTGGGTTGGCACAGCGTGTGTGCTGTGCCCGTGTTTGTGTGTTTGAGGGATGGTGCGTGTTTGTGTGCTGGGTGGCGCAGCGTGTGTGTTGTGCCCGTGTTTGTGTGTGTGAGGGATGGTGCGTGTTTGTGTGCTGGGTGGCGCAACGTGTGTGTGGTTGGGTGGCGTGCCGTGTGTTCTGTGCCCGTATTGTATGTGTGTGTCGAAAGGAGGGATGGTGCTTGTTTTTGTGGTGGTTGGCGCAGCGCGTGTGTGTGTGCTGGGTTTGTGTTTTGGGTGGCATATGTGCTGTGCCTTTATTGTGTGCTCTGTGTGTGTGGGAGGGAGGGAGAGAGGGATGGTGCTTGTGTGTGTGTGCTGGGTGTGTGTGCTGGGTGGCGTGGTGTGTGTGCTGGGTGACGTGGTGTGTGTGCTGGGTGACGTGGTGTGTGTGCTGGGTGACGTGGTGTGTGTGCTGGGTGGCGTGGTGTGTGTGCTGTGCCCGTATTGTGCTCTATGTGTGGGAGGGACTTGTGTGTGGAGCGGGAGCGTATTGGTTCACGCACTGCCCTACGGACCTAGTGACCCTATTTGCTCGGTAAGAGCACTTTCCTCGAGAGTCTGTTAAAGGCTATTTGGTGAATCTTTGTCTTTATGTGTTCTATGTATCCTGTCAGTATTGTCCTGGATGTGTTTGGCAGGGTCTGCGTGTTGGGGGTTGTGGGGAGCGGTAGTTTAGTGGTCAGCACCCTGCGATACGAACCAGGCAACCTGAGTTCGATTTCCGTTGAGCACCAGTGCTGAATATTTGAACTGGTCCTGGGCCTCCCCTAGGTCGACTCAACCTCAAATTAGTACCTGGTGTGGTGTGTAAACATCGCCACTGGGGGGCTGTGGTACAGACGCACCCACCACTCACAGGGGACATTCACGGAGCGTGAACTCTCTCCGATTACAACCAAAACCTACACGCAACAGTACACAGTGATGGAACAGGATTGGTTACGTTTCATGTTTCCTTTATGGCACCATGGGCTGATTTATTAAAATATTAAACGTTTGATGGAACAAGAGTGGACATAGATAAAACGGTGAGAGAAACGCAGGTACAGCTTACGATGGGCAGCACCAGCACATCTGATGAATGTGAACCCATCACATCCACACCGTCCTCCACTACTTCCTGACAGTTTTCGTTTCATGATGTCACCCATTTCAAGACAACATTAAACTGGCGTGAGGTGTGACTCGGGCTCGTGATTGATGTAGCGATGAAATCAGCCCGTGTGTCGGCACTCGATGGATTGCTAACCTCGTGAGAACGTGAGATGTGGCAATGACTGGGGCCTTCATCCAGCAGCGGATGGATCATGGCTGCTGACGATGATGGTAGTGTTGATCAGCCCCCCTGGTATCAGTGTCTTTTAGGGTAATTTTACAATCCGTGTCGTCTGTGATTGGCTGGATTTCATCTACTGTTACGATGTAATATACATTAAAAAAACACTTTCACGGAGTGTACTTGTTAATCCTGTTCTCGTAAAGGACGTGTACATTTCTATTTGCCGTGTCAATTTTCTTCACGAAATTTATCAAACAAAGAAAAAAATCACTTATTCAAACAAAACGGTGAATTGTAAACCCGGCATGAGCATACATCCAGGTACACTACAGACGACACCCCCTGTCACAACAGCAGATCCCACGTCTCCATTGTGCAGGAGGTAGCAGTGTGCCGGGGCTCCCGACTGCTGCTGTGACTGCTGCTCCTGCTTCTGTTTTTGCTGCTGCTGCTGTGATGACCACTGCTACTGTGGCTTCTGCAAACGCTTCTGCAGTTGCTGCTCCTGGTGCTGCTACAGCTTCTACAACTACTGCTGCTATGTCTGCTACTACTTGCTGCTTCTGCTGCTGCTAGTGCTGTAAATACTAAGGCCGCTATTGCGCCTGTTCCTGCGACCGTTGGTAACTACTGCCATGACTTGTGCTGCTACTGCTGTGACTGCTGCTGCTGTAGCTGATCTGGCAGCCGTCGCCGCTGATGATATCACCAGCAGTGGCGGCGTTGGCTGTCACCGGGCCAGGCGTCGTGAACTCTCGTGGGCGAGGGCGTCCAGGCGTCCGTGTTTGCGATTGAGGCATCACTCTCGCTTTTTTTGGAGGGTGGGGTGGGGGGGGTCCCGTGTGACTCACGCCACTTAGTATCACCCCGCGACCACCACCCACCCCCCACGATCACAAATCAGAGGCCAGCAGCAGCAGCAGCCGGCGCCGCTTCTGCACGGCTGCCGCGTCCATGTTTCGCCGTCGAGGTCCGGAGCCGGAGATTAAATGGGACCCGGGGCGAGGGGACCGCAGCGCCGCTCCCGCCGCGTTCCGCGCAGAGGTGACAAAATATCGATCCGCGCGTCACGGGATAAGCGCGTTTGGGATTCAATTTAATCTGCGGGATGGATGAGGGCGTCCGTGTTAATCAAAATTAAAACTATTGATCGCTGATCGCCGAGAGTGCCGGCCCGACAGATTGATACACGGCGTAATAAAGTTAGGGGTGAGCGGCGCGCGCACGTGCGCGCCTGCTGAGTAATGGAGTGTCGCCTCTAAGTTATCCTTCACCCCGCAGCCCCCAT